CAGCGCATCCGTGGACATAATTCAAATTAAAGAAAGGAACACGACTTTCTTTACATATACTCAAAATAAAACCGCATTTCCAAAATACGATTGCTTGAGAATGTAATGTATAATGTTTAGCGCTGCAATGTTGTAGGTTTAATAATGGCTGTACTGCAAGGCGGTGCGGCAAGGAGGCTCGGCACTAAAAGCGCGGAAGTGGCAGCGCGAGTGTCAGTGGCTTTAACTCCCTTCGCGTTTCTGTGTATAGCGTTAGCCGCTCTATCGAATCCGCCATTTTTGACCCCGTTGATATGGCTATGGACCGGCTTAGTCTTGTTACGATTGCTTGATAAAGTAATGTGTAAAGCAATTTTAGCGCTGCAATGTTGTAGGTTTAATAATGGCTGTACTGCAAGGCGGTGCGGCAAGGAGGCTCGGCACTAAGAGCGCGGAAGTGGCAGCGCGAGTGTCGGTGGCTCTAACTCCGTTCGCGTTCCTGTGTATAGCGTTAGCCGCTCTATCGAATCCGCCATTTTTGGCCCCATTGATATGGCTATGGACCGGCTTAGTCTTGTACGCTTTATGTGAGTAGATTCTAAATAATAATTTGGAATTGTTTAAATTAATTTCAGTATTGAAGTAGTTGAAGTTCAATTAATTGCATTAATCGCAGATATTATATTTATGTTATTAGGTTATTATCTGCACGGATAGGTACCGCCAGTCTGCCAATTTCTACTGTGCAACAGTAATGCGTTTCGGCTTGAAGGGTGGAGCAGGCGTTGTACTGTAAAACTGAGACTTAAAACTCATGTCACAAATGTTCACGATTGACTTCCACGGTGAAGGAATAACATCGTGTAACAGAAATCAAACCCGCAAAATTATAATTTGCGTAATCACTGGTGGTAAGACCTCTTGTGAGTCCGCACGGGTAGGTACCACCACCCCACCTATTTCTGCCGTGAAGCAGTGATGCGTTTCGTTTGATGGGTGGGGCAGCCGTTGTAACTATACTTGAGACCTTAGAACTTATATCTCAAGTTGGGTGGCGCATTTACGTCGTAGATGTCTATGGGCTCCTGTAACCACTTAACACCAGGTGGGCTGTGAGCTCGTCCACCCATCTAAGCAAAAAAAAAAACTACCTTAAAAATAATATTTTTATAAAGATACGAATTTTTCTAGTTTAAAATATATATTTCTTAAATTATATGTATAATATATTATACGTTTACCTAGTTATCTATAAAACATTAATCCTAATTACAAAGTCAAATTTATATCTATGTATAAAAAAACCGATATCCGGCGGTATGCCTCATTAAGATAATAGTTTAATTGAATTTAATCGAAACATTAGGAATTTCGTTTTCGAAATTTATTTCTATCGAGCGAGTTAAGTATTTTTATTGCTTTTAACAAATACCTAAAGCGAGTTTGGGTGAAGTATAAATGAATATGCAATTTCGAAAAGGGCACATCTCTGAAAATGTAAAATTTTCAGGAAATGAAAAAAACTGATTATATTTTCTAAAGCAGTGTTAAATTTAAAATATTAACTTTTGAGATATATATATTTTAGTGTTAATTAGCAATTGAAAATTACTGGAATTATTGTAAAATGGGTAGGTAGGTAGGCCTCAAAACTACATGTATATGAAAAAACGTATTTGACAAAATATGCGACATGTGCCCTTTTCGAAATTGCATGTTCAAATGTATGCAGGGCCGGATTTAAACTGAATACCGCTCCTGGGCACTGGAAAAAGATCCGCCCCATTACTGAAATTTTAATTAAACTTACAGCTTACTTATTTTATTTTTCAAAATTAAAACATGTAATTTTTATGATAAAATTAAAATATGAAACTTTATTAGATTGTTGAGTCTCTATATCAGGCTAGGATTAATAGGACACGTGTTCAGTTAAGTGACTAAAGTATATTGGGATTACAATCTAACTTGCTATCGACAGCCCGACATTCCCGAAACTGGCGTAGCATCACTGCAATATAATTATCGCTCACACATACATATTAATAGTTGCTATATTTGTGGTCCCTACAAAATGTTTTAATATATATTCCAAAAACAAAAATATTTCTTTTTTTTCAAACTTTAAAAAATTTGCTGCCCTGAGCACTTGTTCAACATTCTTAGCTACTAACTTAATTCTTAGTTACAATCTGTGACCTTGTTCGTTCACGAAGCCCGCTATAGAAAGCAGAGCATTATATACACTTGACATTGGCGAAATCTAAAAGGAAACGCCATAAACCTAAGAGATAGATAGAGCACTTGCCCCGACTGCCCCTAGTGTAGATCCACCAGTGAATGTATGTGTTGTCATCAGCTACGGCGTTCGCGGTGTCTTGCATGACGTCAATAGGAGCCAACCGAGCACCGGGTGCGGCCCGGGGCGCCGTCCTCGGCACTCTGCGCTCGCTGGGAGCGCTGGCCAGGGCTGCCGGCCCACTACTTACATCTTCAGGTTACACAATAAATACCTACTGATTTTCATTAACTAACGGTTTCAGTAAAATCTCAGCGAAACAAAACGAAACGAACAGAAAACATATTATCTATTACTTACATACTGGATGTTAGGAGACCGCTTCCGAAAACGGAGATAGACGATAGTGCTAATGACACCTTTGATGGGACGGAAAAAAAATCGAACCTGATTTAAGAAAAAAAAACAATTTTTTATAACGTTTAATTAGCATTATTTACGCTCCATCATGTTAGTACAGCTAAAGGAAACGATAGTTTTATAAAAAATACATTACTTTACAAAAAAAACATTGATGCTCGAATGAACAAACGTCCGGGCGCGGCGTTTCTTTTACACGCACATCGGCGCGGCGCGGCGCTGATACTGCGCTCCCCAAAATTTACAACTTTGTAGGTACAAAATTTTCGTTTTCGGAAGCGGTCTCCTAACACCCAGTATTTAGATAATGATCACTGAATAACTACAGTTGTCAACTCTACAGGGTTCGGGCAACTCTTTGCAATCTCATTTCTTCAATTATTTTTTAATTTAGTTAAAATAGGGAAGTACTCGGAGGAATTGAAATTGAATCATCAACATCATTTCGTTCTTGCCATCGCACGACCTACCGCCGGAGTAGAGTTCATTCATACTACCTAGCACATTCTACATACTACCATACTACACCTGAGTTAATACACAGTGTAAAAGCACGTGCCATTCGACTTGGGAATGAGCTTCCATGCCAATATCAACAGTACCTCCTAAGTGCTAAGACATGAATTTCTTCGAACGAGGGTTGCTGTGCGACGCTGTGCCTCTAGCGTTGCTGGCGTCCATGAGCGATGGTAACCCCTCACCATCAGGTGGACAGTATTATGGGCTTTCTAAAAAAAACAAGATCAATTTGGAACATAACCTTACAATCACCCAGATACAAGCCACTGTAGTAACGATGTGGTAGTAGAAATCACAGGAAACAAAAATTTGTTTATTAATATTAAATTTTGCATGTTTTATACTTTGTTTTCTTTCAAAAAACCAGTACGCTTACTTTATTCTTTTCATTTGTTACAGTTTATTGGTATTCTGGAGCAGCCATCACATATGCTATTGGTTCTTTAATTCTTATCATTCCAACTGTGATGTTATTTAGACTGAAAACTTGAGCTTTTATTAATATATATTTTACAAGGAACAAGGAACGTATTGAAAGTTAATTTTACATTACTATTTATTATGCCATGTATTTAAATTATAGTTTTTGTTTATACATTTTACAACTGTTTGTCTTTACAAGTCTATTTTGAAAAAATATATTATGTTTACACATATATTATATAAATAAGTAACATAACAGTATTACAATAAAGATTTTACTAATTAACGGTTTTTTATTATGTATTTAATGACAAAAAACTTCAGAGGTGTCAAGGGACACCCGGATGGAACGAAGTTCCTTTCGATTAATTAGTCAAGGAATTGTAATTTTTTTTTTTAAGTTATAATAATAAATTACGGCATTATGAAGAAGAAAAAAACAATACTATGAACTAAATTACTATTGTTGAAACGCTATCTCGAGAAACTGTACTCATTACGCGGACCAATCGGATACGAGCAATGTCACGCGATAAGCGCCTACACGTTGATTGGTCAGAATGACGGATCTAAAAAGTGTCGTGACAACTTTTCGTAAGAATTTTTTCCGTCTAGCCCTCTTTCACAACGCGCGATAAGGAACTTCGTTCCAATATTATCTTAGAACAAAATAAATCTAGCAAAAGGATGAATACCACTAACGACATTTACGAGATTAAGATGAAAGAAGGAGTCGATCGGTGACCTTAGATCGGTGAAGATTTTCCCATAGTTGGAGATTCCAGAATTGGCATTGTCATAACAACCTTACTACGCCTCTAAAACACGATGCTAATTCTTCATCGTGAAAATTGTTCATGAACGTGTTAAATTTATAATTGCGTAGAATAATTGGTGCCTGCTCGTGAGATACGAATAAACCGGGCGCCTTACCCTCCTTTAACCGACTACATTTACAATAAATACTGCCCTAAACACGTCATTACAGATGCTCCCGATCCATTAACGGTGCTTTTAGGTACCTCAAGTACTGGTCACAGTCCTCGCCGAACCCATCGCTTGCGACGAAGGACTCGACGAGTAAATTAACCCATACACACCGCCCACTGAGTTTCTCGCCGGATTTTCTCAGTGGGTCGCGTACCCGATCCGGTAATAGCTTCTGCGAAGCACTGCTCTTGCTAGGACCAGTGTTAGCAACACTCCGGTTTGAGTCCCTTGAGCTCACCTACACGGCAAGGAGAAGCTGAAATAGCCTCTCAAGGCTATCAGCTAGGTAGGAAAAAAAATACAGACAATACACATATGTACAGATTGGCATTATAATGTTTTTTTGTAACCATAGACCTAGGTTTCATACTTCAGTTTTTGTAACCTAAATTTATCTATGATTGTAACGGTAACTATGGAAACGGTTTGTTATGACAACTTTTACGAGAAGCCAGTTTTAAGCTATGCCACTATTTAGCAGTAAATTCAATCCGAAAACAATTCCGGTCAGAAGACAAGATACATCGGTCTTGAAAAATGAACTCGGCAGTGATTATGCCTCAAAGGAACTGTCACTAGATATTGGTCCGTTAAAGATAAAATTGGGAGATTTTGAAGTATCTTTTGAAGAAGGGCAGTGGATTCCTGGTTGGTACTGATATTTTTACTCGTTTTTTTTATTAATTAGAAAAATTCCGTTGACTAAGACGTAAATAAAATTAGGGTAAAATGTATAACTGTTGAAGTACGTTTACTGTCTCGGCATAATTTTTAACTCCTTTTTTATCTATAGAACCTGCTTGGTATGTCCTTCTGAACTCTGAATGATTAGGTACTTCGAATAGAGATTTTACTCAATTTCTTCTTATCAAAATCTTACATAAATGGCATTGCTGATGTCCATAAACGAAGGGAACTATTCACCATCAGGTAAGCCATATGCTCGTCTGCCTACAATGACAATAAAAAAAAAGTAGTCATCCGTGATTTATAGCCGTAATATTACTCAGTGATTTTACTCACCCGACCCGTGTTACTCAGTAATTTGGGTTTATAGTCTAGGTTGCACGTCGAACTATTCATTTCACAAGAATGGCGACAAGCGCTTGAAGAGTCTAGCACTGGGAGTGGATCGAGAGGATCCTCATTACATTTTTAAGACGACGACGGCTTTTCGTCGATCCTGTGGACCGAAAACAGTCGATGTCGCCCTAAACACGTCATTACGGATCCTCCCAATCCATTAACGGTGCTTTTAGGTACCTCAAGCACCGGTCACCGAACCAGTCGCTTGTGACGAAGGGCTCAACGAGCAAATTAACCCATAGACACAACCCACTGGGTTTTTCGGCGGATCTTCTCAGTGATCGCGTTTCCGATCCGGTAGTACATTCTGCGAAGCACTGCTCTTGCTAGGACCAGTGTTAGCAACACTCCGCTTTGAGCCCCATGAGCTCATCTAAACGTCAAGGCGAAGCTGAAACAGCCTCTGAAGGTCATCAGCATATGTAGGGGGAAAAAAAATTTGGAAGAAGAAACCGTGTTGCGCCAACCCCAGGTGACTGGGAGAAGGGCAGGAGAATAATAGCGGCTTTTCGTTGCCCAACGTCTGGGTCAATTATGTAATTAGAGGCGATCACGATAAGAGGGTTTTCGTGTCGCGTCATTTTGTCGAAGAATCTAGTTATCTCGTCGTTCTTAATTTACATTTGTATTTTAGCATCAGGAAGAGCGGGTGCAGCTCATAAGGAGAATTTGCGATTGAAAAACGAACTAGACAGGCTTGAAGAAGAAAATAACATGCTAAGATTGAAATTCGAAATACTGTTGGACATGATGACTGACAAAACAGTTGAAGCGGAACAAGCTGAACTCCAGCGATCTCAAAGTTTGTCAAGTTTAAAACAGAAGAGTAAAAAGTCGAAATGGTGAAAACGTTTTCTGTAAAATATCGATATAAATAGAAGAAAAGCCACCCTAAAGCGATTTTTTTCAATATACTATTGGTAAAAGAAGAAAAAAAAAACAGTATTAAATGCATTTCAAAATGCTTTTATTACAAACGTTGGTACGAAATAACAATATCTATATTAGATGTAACACTTATGTTTCATATTTACAATATATTACACTATTCATTTTATTACTTTATATACCAACAATTTTAATTACCAAAACAAGAATCATCTGCTATCGATATTCAACATTTCTCTGATTCGAAAATCGATGTAAATTATCGAAATAAATTATAACAAGTAAAGTTGGTTGCATATTCTTTTTTTTTTCTATCGTTACATATTCATGCCTTTTACGATTGAATTAAAATATCATAGGCAAAGAAATGCTTTGCCTTGTGCTTGTGCTTGCCTATATTATGCATATGAATATAAATAAATTAAAAAATTATGGAGCAAATCACACACGGTCATCTGGTCCCAAACTAGAATCCCCTGTACCATGAGAACCACAAACCGATATGCTTTTAAATGTATACACTATACATTTAAAAGTCACAATCAAACTTGTCCGCACGCAATTGTTTTGGCTGAAGTAAGAATCGAACCTATCGGCCTAGCTGTCAAAGGGCTTTAACCACTACGATACCGGGATCGTTATATTTATCATTTTAAATTTATCGTTTTGGTCATTAAAAGTAGTTTATTTGTTGGTTATATATATATAATATTGTTAGTCTGTGGAGGGTCTCCTTATAGAGCAGGTTCGAAAGTCGTGTTCGGTGCTCCCACAGAAGCCGCAATGCCGCACCGCGCCCCGGCGGGACGCTCGGCCTCCGCCGCGGGAGCTCACTGGGGCACGCCGAACAGGACCTGGATAAGAGCATAATACAGTATTGTTACTTTACATGAAGATAATAATAAAATCACTCGCATCCACATTTTACGTTTATAATATACTAGCGACCCTCGCTTCGCTTCGGAAACTGTAATTTATTATTGATTTCTACCCTATTTAATGGATGTTATTATAAATATAAACCTTCCTCTTCAATCACTATATAATATAAAAAACCGCATCAAAATCCATTGCGTAGTTTTAAAGATTTAAGCATACATAGGGATATAGGGAAAGAGAAAGCGACTTTGTTTTATACTATGTAGTGAAGCAATATTAATATGCAATAATAGCAATATATATAAGCAATATTATAAACGTGAAATGTGGATGCGAGTGATTTTATTATATAAGCAATACTATTGTTACGCGCTGGGGTTCGGGATTAATAACAATTCTATCGAATTACAAGTTAACACTGTATTCGCACTTTAAAATTCTCAATTCACTTCTTCCGCTTCGCTTCGCTTCAGGTGATCCGTTCGCTGTTTCGCTTCGAGTAGTTCCGATTACTAACTGACTGTGTGCCATCTCTGCGACGCTTTTATAGTTGATACGAAATCCCTAGAATCGTCGAGAATATTCCACAAAAGCCGAGTACTGTGTTTCCGCTATCTGACAATAGATAGCGTTGTACTTCTCGAGCGTTCTAGATGCTACTAGAACCTTCGACTATTCGGCAATAGATGGCGTTACTCTTATCAGCGTAACACTATAAACGTGAACTGAAGGGTCAAAGTGTCTCACTTCTGTCCCACTGAGTGACATAGGCTACCTTTTATCTCGAACAAAACATCTCATTCCCACAGTCGATTTAGTTTACATTGGTGCGGGTAATTAGTTATAAAATTACAATGGTCGATCATATCACGATCTCCTAATATTTTCATATTTTATCAGTAAGCTTACTTTAATAATGGTAATTAAAAGCCAACTTGTTCATATACCTGGTCTGGAGCCGCTTTCATCGGCCCATTTAAAGAAGTTGCATTTCGAGCTGAAGTCTTTCGCGCACCCATAGAACTGTCGTCCTTTATTTGGGCCTTCTTTGTGTACCGTTAGTCTGAAATAAAAAATTTACATAACATTATAATTCTATGAAGGATAATAATAATTATACTACGTATTTTGTGATAAACGATAATTATATTACGTATTTTGTTTGCCAGTTAAAGAATATGAATAATAATACAAGTATTTATTGATACTGAAAAATTATGGACTATTGTTCCGAATTATCTTTGTAAGGCCCCATTCCACAGGCATCCTGGTCGCAATACTTTAGAGTATTCTCGCAAGTCTAAACTAACCTTTACATTTTCGTCAAACGTTCATTGTTATAGGACTAATGAGATTGAGTATAAACTTACTTTTTACAAGGCAAACGACAGTCACACTTGACGTCATCAGTGTTGCCAGACCCAGTATTTCTATTACGATTTGCATCCCGTCTGACAACACCAGTTGTATTAAAAGTCGTTTGCTCAGACGACGACGGCGGAGTCTCGAATGCAGACTGAGCATTATTGACGGATTCTGGAGCCCACAAGAAGAAATCACATCCACCGTTCTCTTTCCCGACTGGACATTTGTAAAATTTTTGGCCTAAAATCATAAATTGTTTTTAAGGAAATGTTTAGAAAATGGGGTTTCCTTCATAAGGCTTTTTCTTGATGTTATGCCATATTCGTTTCGAGGTATTGGAGATATAGAATCTTTACAAAGTTATATTTACGCTGGACTGCGAACTAAAATATAATTTGGGGAAGACGTTATTGTCCTTCCCATTTCTACCGCGAAAAAGACACGTTTTAAAGTTTCCATCGGCGACATACATTTTGTCTATAGGCCTGTTCTATTTGGTTAATAGAATAGTAAGCACTTAACACCACCACCACTTTTGAAGTCGTCGTGGTCTAAAAGATAAGGCGTCCGAACGGTGCATTCGTATCTAGCGATACAAAGGTGTTCGAATCCCGCAGGCGGGTACCAATTTTCCTAATGAAATACGTACTTAACAAATGTTCACGGTTGACGTCCACAAGGTGAAGGAATAACATCGAGTAATAAAAATCATATCCGCAAAATTATAGTTTGCGTAATTGAGTCCGCGCGGGTAGGTACCAACACCCTGCCTGTTTCTGCCGTGAAGTAGTAATGTGTTTCGGTTTGAAGGGTGCAGCAGCCGTTGTAACTATACTTGAGACGTTAGTACTTATATGTCAAGGTGGGTTGCGCATTTATGTTGTAGATGTTTATGGGCTCCAACACCAGGTGGGCCGTGAGCATCTTTTCATCTATAGCAATTAAAAAAATCTATGTCACTACGTAGATGCTGATATCCATTCACGTCATTACGGATCCTCCCGATCCATTAACGGTGCTTTTAGGCATCACAAGCACCGGTCACCGTCCTCGCCGAACCCGTCGCTTGTGACGAAGGGCTCGACGAGTAAATTAACCCATATACACAGCCCACTGAGTTTCTCTCCGGATCTTCTCAGTGGGTCGCGTTTCCAATCCGGTAGTAGATTATGCGAAGCACTGCTCTTGCTAGGGTCACTCCGGTTTGAGCCCCGTGAGCTCACCTACTAGTTGGTTACGCTGAAATAGCCTCTCAAGGCTATCAGCTTAGGTAGAAAAAAAAAGAGATCCAGTCGAAAAGAAATCTTTAGAATCAAAATAACGGATATATTTTTATTTTTGATGTTCAGTTTAAATCTCTATTAAAATATAAAATCTTACCAAAATTCTGATTTTGTTTCTTAGACGTTAATAAGATCGCCGGTTTTGAGCATCTGCAGACCACGTGATTGTCATCTAAGTTAGCGGCATTACTGGCGCTGTTCATCCTAATGTTTGTCATGTTCATAGCATTGTTCCTCTGAGCCGGCATATCTCGAACTCTATTTGAACCAGTTTCTATTGGATTTCGAAGTAGATTACTCGGTATAATATGGTTTTGTATGGGTACTGATATATCTGTTCTCGAACTGGTGTTCGAAGATGTGACTTGTGCGGAGGAGCCCGATGTTTTTATGACACTGTTGATGTTTATATTGAGATATTCTAGAAACGTTCTATCGCACCCGCCGATGCAGCCCGTGTACGGCGGTGCGTATATGTGACTTATGGAATTGTTTCGCCATTCAAACTTCATCATCTTGTAGTCCGGTCCACACTAAAAAAATAAATTTGTAGTTTTTTTTTTATTGCTTAGATGGACTCACATGTGTGGAGCTCACAGCCCACCTAGTGTTAAGTGGTTACTGGAGCCCATAGACATCTACAACGTAAATGCGCCACCCACCTCGAGATATAAGTTCTAAGATCTCAGTATAGTTACAACGGTTACCCCACCCTTCGAACCGAAACGCATTATTGCTTCACGGCGGAAATAGGCGGGGTGGTGGTACCTACCCGTGCGGACTCCCAAGAGGTCCTACCACCAGTAATGAACAATAACTTTACAAAAAAAAAACATTATTCTATTATTATTATTCTAGTAGGATATTGGACAGTTCAAGACTCACACGGGGTTATTAGTTAACAAACATAACGAATGTTGTGAATTACAATGTGGCTGTCAATACCTGTGTGCTTAGTGCCAGTTTTTTAACGTTCTCGATAGCGTAAAAGTTATCTCACATTTGTATGGAATGGGATCGTTTACGTACGTTTGCCGTTAGGGGCGCTGTTCCAACTGTATACAAAATTGGCTTAACTTTTACGCTATCAAGAACGTTAAGAAAATCGCACTAAGCACACTGAATAAAGACACAAGGTCCAAGTCTTATTCGCATTGGTATAACGGCTGTACTGCCATTCAAAATAGAATTCGCGATCGTTTCGTTGCCAAATCAGGCCGAATATAAGTCGGCCATCACTATACCTAGTACACAATTTAATCTATCACGCCTAATGCCTTACATATCAACCAAATTTACCGTTGCGAAATGCAATTCGGATAAAAATTTAATTAATTAAATTTCTTTATGTACCTTAAAAGAATTAGGGCAAATCTGAAATAAAAACTATTTAGTAAGTAAGGTATTCCAAAGGCTTTGAAACAGAGTTGTGGACGATAAAAAAATCTAACAAAATTACAACATCCTTTGCAGATCCTGCATATAGAGTATTAAGTAAAGATGGGTCATACTAGGTCCACCTGCTCCTAATCTTAAGAAATGCCTAATCCACATAATCTTCCTAATTTCAATTACAACCAACACTTTACTTAGCAAGCAATCTCAATCTGCCTATTCCTAATCTCAAGTTCTGAGTTCGTTATTAGGATTTGATTAATGTGATCGTTGGATCATTATTTGAATGATTAGGAATAGGCATTTAGGGATCGTGAGATAAGGTGCAACGTGTATGTGAGTGATATAGCGCAGGAGCAGGTAGGAGCGTATGCTGAACATTCGATTTTATGTTTTAAGAATACGAAGATTAAGTGGAAGTGGAACAGGTGGATTATACACATTGACAAAATGGGATTAGGTGTAGCCTAATCTCGTAAAATACCTAATACTCGGGTCTGTTCTAATAAATCCGACTCATCTCTAGTATTAAGTAGCAAGGCATCATACATTTTAAAAGGTATTTCAATGTGTGTAGTTGCATTATTAAATTTACATTTGTGTTTACATCTCGCTTATTCTTAACCAAGTGAAGTAGAAGTTAACTCAATTACCTCTGTGCAAGTGTCTGGTAAAACTTGCAATGACTTAACTATATTAGGTAGCCAAACTGCATTTTTGCAGTTAGGAAATGACATGCAACCGATATAATATTCGGTCGGATTATTCTTTTTCTGTCTTATGATCATGTCCGAGCCACATTTCGGACATTTTAAGGCTGTAAAAAATTAATTAAACAGTTTACATAAATTTTTATTTAAGAAAATTATGAATTATTCATAATTGTTCTTATGAATGTATTTTTTTATTGAAGATAAATAAGAAGATATACATGTGTGTATGTCGAGCTAGGAGAAAAACTATTATGAAGGTAGGATTCTATATTTTTATTTATTTATTTCTTTAGATGGATGGACGAGATCACGATCCATCTGGTGTTAAGTTGTAACCGGAGCTCATAGACGTCTACAACGTAAATTCCGCCACCCACTTTGAGATAGGAGTTCTAAGATATCTGTTTTGCAGTACAACGGCTGCCCTACCCTTCAATAGGAAACGCGTTACTGCTTCAGGGCAGAAATACGTCCTACCATCAGTAATTACGCTAATTATAAATATTGCGGGTAGTCTTGTTTATTTAGTGATTGAGAATCATACCCTTACTGGTGGTAGGATTTCTTGTGAGTCTCCACGTGTAGGTACCACCACCCTGTCTATTTCTGCCGTGAAGCAGTAATGCGTTTCGGTTTGAAGGGCGGGGCAGCCGTTGTAACCATACTTGAGACCTTAAAACTTATATTTCAAGGTGGGTGGCGCAATTACGTTATAGATGTCTATGGGCTCCAGTAACCACTTAACACCAGGTAGGCTGTGACCTCGTCCTCCAATCTAAGCAATAAAAAAAAACAAAAAAAAATACCCGCGGGCATGTCGACCGGTAAGGTATCCGCGCTCGCAGGCGGCGCCGCCGGCTGCTCGTTCAGTCTCTCCGCGAGCGCTCTGTCTATCTTCTCAGCCTCCGCCGATGCTTTAATGTACACCTCTTTATATTTTGCTATCTAGATTATTAATATAACGTTATATTATTATTATTTACTGGTTGTAATGTGAGTGGTTTAGATGAAGAATAAAAATAAAAGTTATTTGAAGTGACAATTGATTTTTTTGTTTATTGGCCCTTCAATCAAACAAATTCAAAGACTTGGATTTCTCGCTCAAATTGTTTCCTCAGTCGAGGTGTGATGCCTCTATTTATATAATATATCTTTCCATGAGTGTGCGTTTTAAAACACAAATACGTATTTTTATCGTTTAAGTCAGTACCTCCTAGACCTGATCTTGGTTTGGACAGCCCTGTCTAAGATATCAATATATTTTTAATACACTTTTCTACACTTAAATTAAGAAAAGAACCTACCGCGTACACGATACGATAGGATATATATAAATCTGACACACTTATAATATTGATACGTACAAGTAACGTATTTGGTGATAAAAACTATTAAAATTATTGTCGCTCATTTACAAATATGGATTTAAAAAAAAAAACAATAATATCGACAAACCTGTTCAGATAAAACCGCTTCAGGCTGTTTCCTGCCTTCGATAATTTCTTTGAGATCGGACTCTAACTGAGCACGGAGATGGGGCTTCGACATTTCGAGGCCCATAGCATCGTATCCCTCCACCAGACCCATGCCTAAGACACCGGGAACGAAATATTTTTCATCTGCCAACGCTACATACGAACGGCTTTTTATCTTCTCAATGTGCTCAGCGTGCGTTGCGTCTGTACCTAAAAAAAAAAAACAATCAATGACATTAATTTTATGAGACTATAAGCTGTCATAGTAATGTCAATTTCATTGTACAGTCTCGAAAACATAACCGATTTATTGTTACGCGCTGGGGTTCGTGATAAATTGCAATTCTACCGAAGTACAAATTACAACTGTATTAACACTTAACACACTTAACGAACACTTTAAAATTCTCAATTGACTTCTTCCGCTTCGCTTCAGATGATCCGTTCGCTGTTTCGCTTCGAGTAGTTTCGATTACTAACTGACTTTTTTTCCTACCTAAGCTGATAGCCTTGAGAGGCTATTTCAGCGGAACCTTAACTTGTTGGTGAGCTCACGGGGCTCAAACCTAGCAAGAGCCGTCCTTCGCAGAATCTGCCACCGGATCGGAAACGCGACCCACTGAGAAGATCCGGCGAGAAACTCAGTGGGCTGTGTCTGTGGGTTAATTTGAACGATGACCGGCTAACTGACTGCGTGTCATCTCTGCAACGCTTATAGTTGATACTACAATCCCTAGATTTATCGAGAATATACTGGGCAAGTCGAGTAGCTTCGAAGTTGTTTCCGCTATCTTACAATAGATGGCGTTACTTTTACCGGCGTAACAATATTTTAATAACAGAATTGACACTACAATGATACCTACAATGTACAAAATACACGCAAATCCTTATTTATGTTATAATTTATTATTATAAATAGCTGACAATAATATTACGACAAAAGTGATGAAACAAATAAACTAACAATACCAACTACATAGATAATACAACGGATGGTCTTAAAAGTTATAATTTTATTTGTATAATAATTTAAAATTAAAAGAATATATGAATTTATATGGATTTTCTAAATTATCTTGCCAACGTGTAACCATTTGAAATTAATTAGAAGGTGACGCGACGCTACATTATTAGATGTGGTCCAATGACATCGTCAGAACGTGATCAATTCAGAAAATATATCTAAATTAGATTTCATACATTTTTATGTTAGTTAAATAAGAAGAAAATTTTACGATTTTTCTATTTGTCAGGATAAGTTTTTTTAATTTTTGTAATGGATTGCTTGGAATGGATTAATTTTTGATTGAAAATGGATGCAATTTAAAAAAAGTATCTATAATAGTAGTTACCAATGCCATGTTTTTCCATTAGACTAATGAGGTCGGCTTCTGTTAGTAAGCTGGGTGGTGAAGTAGTACCGGATACGATGTCTATTGAGGTTGGACTGAATATTTGACCTTCCTGAAAAATTTACAATTCACCGTGACAAATTAACTAATTTTAAGATTTTCTTCAATTATTCAAAAAACAGGATTGTATTTTTAAAGCAAAAATGGCATATGAGTGCTGTGAAATATTAAAAGCATAAATCTTATTAGTATTTCAAGGCATTTCNGGTGAAGTAGTACCGGATACGATGTCTATTGAGGTTGGACTGAATATTTGACCTTCCTGAAAAATTTACAATTCACCGTGACAAATTAACTAATTTTAAGATTTTCTTCAATTATTCAAAAAACAGGATTGTATTTTTAAAGCAAAAATGGCATATGAGTGCTGTGAAATATTAAAAGCATAAATCTTATTAGTATTTCAAGGCATTTCAAGCAACATCTTGAGAAGCTTTGCTATTTGGTCATGTGCGTTACGGGCTTGATACAGATACCGTCACCAACAGTGATTTACATATGTTGAGAAACTTTTTTTTTGGAACTCTCGAGATTATCATAAATATATTTAGTTATTTAATTTTTATAAAATACATCAATCGTTACTGTCTTCACTCCAGGCGAGAAACTCAGTGGACTGTATCTATAGCGATATGTACTATTAGATCTCGACGCTAATAACAAGACGAAGCTATATTCAATTATACAGACCTGATAGACGTGTATTTCTTTAGACGACCACTTCTCGTAGATGTATACCTCTAGGTAGTTTATTTCGGTAATCACGAGTCCGTTGGCGGAAAACTTCTCTCTGCCTATATCTATGTTAACGATCGTCTCCTGACCCTGAGCGTCCTTGGAACAGCACGCAAGGAACGACCGCACTATGAACTCGTAAAGGCGTTTCTCGTTGCCCGATAAATCTAGAATAAATACGAATACGCTTATTGTTTTAGTAAAATTAACCTCAAAAAACCCGGCTGGACCGATTTGGCTAATTTTGGCCTTGAATTATTTGTGGAAGTTCAGAGAAGGTTTAAAAGGTAGATAAATATGAGAATCCTCGGAATTAAATTAAAATAGCAATTTGGTTTTTCCTTTGATGTGTCCCCCGTCGGACGGATTCCTTTTGTTTGTTTTAAGTTTATTTTATACAAAAGTTTAGGTCTTTTATTTTTCGATTGAGGCACTACGAAGTCTGCCGGGTCAGCTAGTATTCTTATATAAAGTAATAAGTTGATTGTGAAAGTGATATTTTAAAAATCATTGTATACGTTTATAAGCATTGTATGAATTTTCAAAGCAGTTTGAGATAATCGTTCACATACTTCGACATAGGCTGAACAAAACAACATTCATTGCGCGTCGCCTTCGTTAGGGGTCGAGCTCTGTTTGAGAGGGTTTGCTAATATCTCCCATAGCAATAGTACGTCGCTGTATTTACCGCAGGTAAGAGAAGCATCATTACTTGTATTTTTAGGAAGTTAATAATTCGCGAGCACGCAAACTAAAGTGAAGGTAGACGCTCAGCGTTGCACTAGGGCGTTGACCTCACGTATCAGCTGACGTATAACTCAGTTATAGTAAAAAAAAAGATAGGTAAAAATATCACTTTACATACGTATTTTTTAAGATCGTTCGCAATGATTTCCTTTTGCTCAGTGATATGTAAAATAAAATAGGTAACCAACGATCGAACTATCGACTCATAAATTTTTTATTTTAGAGTGAAAATTTCAAGCGATAAATATAATTATTAATCATTTCACACTAGTGGTAGGACCTTTTGTGAGTCCGCACGGGTAGGTACCACCACCCCGCCCATTTCTACCGTGAAGCAGTAATGCGTTTCGGTTTGAAGTGTGGGGCAGCCGTTGTAACTATAGTGAGACCTTAGAACTTGTATCTCAAGGTGGGTGGCGCATTTACGTTGTAGATGTCTATGGGCTCCAGTAACCACTTAACACCAGATGGGCTGTGAGCTCGTCCACCCATCTAAGCAATAAAAAAAAAACACTAACTGTTCGTATATTTTGTTGGATGTATAGGCGGATGCGCTTTGTCGCTTTTCTTTCCTTGCCTCGGAGTTGGCCCGCCGTTATCTAATATCTTCTGCGCGAATGTACCCCAGTTCGGATCAGCGGTCTGCTGACCAACTAACTGGGCTAAGTTCATCTCCTTCGGAAACTCATTTGTCTCTGTACGAGGGTAGCTGATGAAGCCTTGGGTGTAGAGTTTCTCGGCGAGTTGCATTGTCTCTTTCGCGTGTATTTTTAATTTACGTGACGCTTGCTTTTCTAGTTCCTGAAAAATTAATATCATAATGAAAATGTACATCACTAATGTTGTCAATGTTTGTTGTCGAACCCGTCGCTTGCGACGGAGGGCTCGACGAATGAATTAACCCATAAACACATCCCACTGAGTTTCTCGCCGGATCTTCTCAGTGAGTCGCGTTTCCGATTCGGTGGTAGATTCTGCGACGCACTGCTCTTTCTAAGGCCAGTGTTAGCAACACTCCCGGTTTGAGCCCCGTGAGCGCACCTACACGTCAAGAAGTTGAAATAGCCTCTCAAGACTATCAGCATAGGTAGGAAAAAAAGAAGTATAAATCCACTACTGAATTACTTAACTTACCACAGTTTCCAAAGGCAACGGCCGCCATTTAGACTTAGGTTTAGTTTTCACTTCAAGCACTCTCGCCAAAGGATTCTCAGTGCAAATATCATGAAATATTTTACAAGCATATTCGTCAAACAACCGAAAACGTTCCCATGCGAACTCTACACTGAGGTTCTCTATAGTATGATTTACTGTAAGAAACATTGCATTTAGTCATTGCTATTGGCATATAATAATATGGACATACAATGCCACGGTGTTACTACGGGTACTTCGGGTAAATGTGAAGGCGTAAACATTGAGACTTGAGATCTGTCTCAATACTCTCAATTGTATAGTAAATACGCAAATTACATTTTTCGCTAGTTTAGTTTTTATTACACAGCGTCATTCCTCCATCGTGGACGTTATTCGTGAATATGAGTTAAGTGTGCAATTCATTGGGAAAATCGTCGTCTTATACGTCTTTTTATCCTTCAGGTCACGACTACTTTAATATAAATTCCAGTTAAGTTAATGTATGAAGTGAAGCTCAACTCTACAGGCAGGACGGTAACACTAGCTCTGTTATTTGAGTATGTATACTCGTACATACTCTCCGTGGGGGTCATCGCTTCCCCTTGGGGGGGTGCGGAGCGGGCCTCGGGGAAACCCCTCTACCCGGGCTGAATCTCCGTCTATTGAGGCAGGGGTGATGCACTGCGGGTTGATATTGTAGCAGGCTTCCGTTCGCGTTTATACAAAACGGAAACGGATCGGATACGCAAATTATGTATTTTACGAGACCCGAAATAAAAAATATTTTTGTACGCTACATTGTTGGTATGGTTGGATTTGTTTTAAAAAATGCCGATGACATGCTTCTGTAATTAATATAAGGTCAAAGTTCGTTTTGTTTTTTCTAAACGTTTATCTGTACTTTAATACCGATATTTTACATCCACATTAAATAACATATTTTTTGTATCACGCACAGAAGCGTTCGTGTTGTTTGATTTCCAATGAGTATTTCTTTTTAATCATTAACGATCGAAATAATAAATCACCTACATCATTTCTTAAATTAAATGTTTTTAATAGTTATTGTAGATTAACCTACCCTTTAATTTCCAAAACGTTTCGACAATGAAGTTTTCTATGGCTCTATAGCGTTCCACCACAAATCCAAGAGTGGGAAATTGACAAGAACCATAACTCACTATGGTGTCTGTTAGTTTACTGGGGAATACCTTTTGGAGTCTCAATGTTTGGAACCTTGTGAATGCCGCACCTGCATATGTAAAAGCCATTCATTATTGTTGGCAAAAAATTCCAACAAATTAAAAAAAAACGGGACTTTAATGTTGGAATTGATAGTAATACGGTCAAGAGCCGCTGTTCAGGGTGCAATAATGAATTCAGTTTTAGCTGTAGACACGTTTATTGTTTGTACTCGGAGAATCAAAATTACAAAAATTGTCACAATATCTCGTGCCGTCGTCACTAGTGTCTTATACGTTTTGAAGTGAAAACTTCTTTAGAATCGTTGTGATTTCAAACCGGATGCAACGGAAAAAACGACAGGTAAGAGACACAAATACAAAAATGTGTAGGATGAAGCCAGCAAAGAATGAGACAGAAATATACATACTATTTAATACAGCGCCATCTGTGAGATTTTTTAATACTGAGAGATTTTGATGTGTGTATGAAAGCTCTTGTAGTGAATTTTAATTTAGGATTATACGTGAAATTAAAATATCAATTCACAGAGGGCGCTACCTTACAATTATTTACTAATGACAAAATTTTACATATACTTAAGACGTTTAGGTTAATTGTATTTTAATTTTGGAAGGTTTCACTTCTACCACGTGTGAATTGCACACATGTAATTTTGTTTTTNATGTGTGTATGAAAGCTCTTGTAGTGAATTTTAATTTAGGATTATACGTGAAATTAAAATATCAATTCACAGAGGGCGCTACCTTACAATTATTTACTAATGACAAAATTTTACATATACTTAAGACGTTTAGGTTAATTGTATTTTAATTTTGGAAGGTTTCACTTCTACCACGTGTGAATTGCACACATGTAATTTTTTTTTTTTAATTTGAGGTATAGCTGGTTTCTCAGAGACCTTTCCAGCTTTACTACAATGCGTGGGCGTAACAAATCGAAGTCAGCTGTTTCGCGAGTGCATCTACTATCGTGTCAGAATCGCGGCTCGCCGAGAAATGAGAAACTCGATGGGCTGATCTTGTGGCCTAAGTGTAACGTCGAACTTTTTGATGAATTCGACAAGTAGGATGACCTGTGTGCTTAGTACGAGTAATTTAATGTTCTCGATAGCGTAAAAGTTAACTCAAATTTTTTCAACATGCAGCTGGAGCAGCGCCCCTAGCGGCAAACGTAAAAAAAACTTTTACGCTATCGAGAACGTTAAAAAACTCGCACTAAGCACACTGTGCTATAGTTGCTGCTATTGTAATAACAAAAAGTGTCCGACAACATTAGGACTGGATCAGGTGGATTCATAAGGATCTGTCTAAGGCGTCCACAATTGACTGCTTTGTGAACCGGGTCAGGAGTTTAAATGGCGATGGCCATGATATTAAGTGGATTATCGTATCGCCGGCTAACGCGAAGTAGCTTTTGTTTGGTACGAAATTATACTTTAACACTCAGATAATAGAGCTTAAAAAATGTAATTTAGTAATTCAATGAATGAATGAACGAGTGAATTGGTAATCTAGAGCTTTATTATTTTAATAATATTTTCATTTGGTTACTAGACTTGCGCAAAACATCACTTGCCAATGTAATGTGATATGACATCACTTTTACAGACAGGTGATATTACTCGAAAACATTACACATCACTCTTAACATTACTCGGTGCGTTCAATAGATACTGTGACGACGAATACATTGTATCTATACACCCGAATCATTACCTAAGTGATGTGTAATGACACACCCGAATCATTACTTAAGTGATGTGTTGATACACATCACTTAGGTAATGATTCGGGTGTGTCATTACAGTAGTGTATTACAATACAAAGTATGAACTTTGTATTGTAATACACTGTTATATTACTTGACAGAGATTGACTTACTTAATAATATAATAATTTTATTTTTTACTTAATATAATTTATTGTGGGATGAACGGATTTCATATGGCGACTTAGACTGCAAATTGAGCTCGACAATAATGTTAATATACGAGAGCAGTAGATGCATTGTTTCGGCGCGATATCCTCAAAGTGCATCCAAGGAGGACTGTACTTTCATTTAGACGCCGTTATTTCTTTCACTTATTAAACACGCATTAAAACAAATAATAAAACTATCTTCAAACAAGTGCTTAAGTAATTCAAATCAAACACAAAAATTAATATGAAATATTACTAAACAATTACGAGCGACTAGCGATTTTACAAAAGTTGCGAATAAAAAATTAAGTAAGTACTTGCGGGGAACTACCGGCTGGCCGCATGAAAAATATAAACACAAATACCTATATTAAAATTCAGACGTACCATAGGTATAAAAATGTACCTAGCGGCCAGGACATACGGTTCAAAATCACTAGGAATAATTCCGTGTCGCTTGCTCATTTATATTGGGTCGATCGGTCTGTCTCGCTCGCTCGGTTCCGTTCGTGTATTAAGCAACATTACACGACAAAGAAAGAAACATGTTGGGTGATAGTGTGATGTTTGTTTCCTTCGCGTAATGTGTGATGTTGCATTACATCGTAGAGTAATATTACCCGAGTAATATCACTCGCATTACTTACACATGTCTATTGGTTACTTGTGTGTGCAGTTATTTGTATTAGGTAAATCATTCGTCATGATTTTTTTATGCTAAAACTATTTGAAACTCAGGTTTATCTCATCGGTCATTTTCAAACGACCCCTAACATATATTTTTATTAGCCAGAACTTTTTTTTTTTTTTTATTCATATGCATCTACAAACAACTGTGTGAAGATCAACATAAGAATGAGTGGCCAGAGTAGGACTGATATCCAAAAGAGTAAAATAATTAATACCATAAAGCTACCATAATTCCTAAGTCTAATAATTAAACATATTTTATATGCCTACCTATCCTTAAATCAAGTTCTTGTCTGACATCTACTGCATTACTAGTATTCTTGTTTGGTTCTTCTAAGTTTTGTAAAGCTCTATTTACTGAAACTAATGTGATCTCTGAAAATTTTGCTCTATATATTTTCAAATTTGTCCTGGCAGCTTTACAAACATCAATAATCTCAAAACCTATGTTCTCTCCTTCTCTGTCACAATCTGTCCATATTATGAGGCCTTGACACCTTCGAACTTCTCGCTCTAAGGTCATCTGTGAAGTGATAGTCAAATATTATTGTTGCTAGAATTGATCGTTCCATTAGAAAATGTTAAACATCAGTATATTGTTGAACTATTCGATATTTATAAGAAACTGAATAATTTTAAATCAAATATCTTTTTTTTATTTTTATTGCTTAGATGTTTGGACGAGCTCACAGCCCACCTGGTGTAAAGTGGTTACTGGAGCCCATAGACATCTACAACGTAAATGCGCTACCCATCTTGAGATATAAGTTCTAAGATCTCGGTATAGTTACAACGGCTGCCCCACCCTTCAAACCGAAACGCATTACTGCTTCACGGCAGAAATAGGCAGGATGGTGGTACCTACCCGCGCGGACTCACAAGAGGTCCTACCACCAGTAAAAAATCTTGAACTATTGATTATTAATAGACATATATGAGGGAAGCACCTCAAAGCTACACTTAATTAAATGAAATGCCTTTGTGTCCTAAGTATCAATCACATCAGATATTTGAGCTTGTCTGAAGTGCATCAGATGTATACTTGCTCCAAGGTCGCCTTTAGCTATGATATTGTAGGTAAATTGTCTTCACTAGTTTTTATTCAATTATAAATATAAAATAACCGAGAACACAAATAGTCATCTGGTTCCATACTAGGATTGCCTGTAGTATGGACAGAAGGCTAATATACATACTTATATATCGACGCTTGAAAGGCAAACATGACTAAGCGACATTATCTGCTTTGTACATAAATGATAGGCAATAACCATATTCGATGCGCAAAAAATATATATTTCTAAGTCTATTAAAATCATTTCAATCCTACAGCTACTAGCTACATTCTACTACAGCTAGATTCGTTAAAAAAAATTTGTTTTCAGGTATTTCAACTTTAAATTAGTCTACTGTAAAGTTCACGCATTGTCGCTTAGTCACGTTTGCCTTTCAAGCATCGATATGTATGTTTAAATATATAGATAATATTAATCATGTCACAAATGTTTGCCTCGTGTGGAAATTGAACCATTGACCCTCCGCCCAGTCATCAGGGCTACTAGTTATTGCACCATTAAGGCAATCAATCACTAACACTTCAAGATACATTTTCTGTTGCGTTACAGATGTTTTCAAAATAATATTAATAATACTAATACTCATCAGTAGTTACTAAGCTAAATAAAATAAAAACAGCTGACAAACTCAGGAGAAAATGTAGTTATTTATTTTCTCTTTGCCTTTTAGATGTAAATAAAATACAAGTAAGTACAGTAAAAACTCCTTATTTAATTTTGTGCTTGCTTATTTACATATTCACTAGTTGCGGATTAATAAAATTAATAAAACACGGTTCCTACATTTGCAGCTAAAGATTTCTCCTTTTGCAGATCTAATTAGTACATCTGTACATACACATTGATAAAAAGGATTCCATAATGTAGGTATACAAGTGAATGTCTTTTGTAAATATGCTTTTCCATATTCACGGTTTCTGTATTTGCAGCGTATTTACATAATATATACCCGGAAATAAAGAGCTTTTACTGTAATTGAAAACATTACTTTAGGAAGACAAAGCTCACCTTAATTTTTTGGTAATTCTCTGGGCAGTATTTGAAAACAGGTGCATCAAACAGTGATAGTGGGCTACAGGTTTGCCAGGTTCTGTATGTTCCACTAAATTCTAGGGCTAAGAGATGTCCTGATACTGAGGTCATCACCATTTCACAATCTTGCCCCATTACATTGGCTTTAAATTGATATATTTTGTTGTACTTTGATAGTCCTTCACGCTAAAAAAAAACGAAAGAAAAACAGTTTTTATGAGAGAAAAAAAACAAGTTTTATGAGAATTACTTTGTGACATGTTTTACATCTGGATTTAACCTACAGTATTGCCTAGGGTTGACATACAGGGAAACTAAAATAGACAAAATAGTCCATAGGTTTGTAAAATCAGTTCAGATTTTGTCCCCTTATAGATTATTTCACTTCTCTATCATCTATAAAAGATAAACCTGGCCGATGGCAACCGGCAGTCTGTCGAGTCTCCTTAGGAGTGGTAAATAATATATAGCACATAATTTGTGAGTATGATAGCTTAGCAAGAGCAACCAAAAGATAGCACGAAGTGCACACATACCCTAGTTGATGTTCCTTTGGATAGATGTAACGCAATATTTTTAGCTGCATCATTTTTCTCTGCTACATTTAAATATTTCATAGTAGAATATTTGTTTACAAATATCTGTTTGTTTACTAAAAAACAAAGTGTTCTATTCAATCTACTATTTAGCTTTTCAAGGCATTGTAACATATTTTTTATAAACGTTATATTATTTTCATAACAAAGAGATAAAATCTTGATATTGAACCTATAAATGTGTATGCCTGCAGCAGAGAAAATTACTCTGAATATTCTGGGAATGTTACAGTAAGATTTATATCCCCTTAATATTAAATTTAAACTACATATCTGTTTAACCTATGTTTAAATTAGTGTTTAATTATAATCACTTAAATTAATAAACAAACATATTTGAATTAAACATCCCACAATTTATCAAATATTAAGTGTCAACTGTCAAGTGTACCGTACCTCTCATAGATTATACACTTAATATATTTGATCTATTAAAGATATCTATGCCACATAGATCATAGAAAATACCATAGATTAATATATTAGTTACTTTATGAGCTTCTAATATCTTCTAGTATAATCTCGTAATTCATGTCTGGGAGACCGCATGATGGGTCCGAAGAAGCTCATAATACGTTTCCGGCAGATGGAAGAGAGCTTTTTTTCGGATGTTTAGCTGCCTTAAAATGGACTCGTTTGTTCTCATGGCAGTCCACGGTATTCGTAGCATCCTCCGCCATACCCACATTTCAAAGGCATCTATCTTTTTAATATCCCGTGATAATAATAATTAAGTGTTATAAGTTTGACAGATTTTCCTTTTCGCGATAAAGTATTAGGTTGCAATAATTTCATTTTTCAACAAGAAAGGCGAGGACATCATACCAAAATGCTTTTTCTTTAAATTTTCTGCTAAATAAAAAATAATATGAAACGATACATTATACGGAAAACGTGAGGTCAAGTTGATTCATTTGAGATTTTAATCAAACGCGAAGAGATGGGGTGGAAGTCTCAGTAAAATGGTTGTTTTTTATTGAGATTGCAGAGAATTTTTTAGAAAACTCCGAGTAGACACTTCCTATAGGTACACAGATATGATTCACTACTATTCAGTAAATCACCATTACTGAAGAAACATTAAATTAATGAAACAGTTCACATAATTTCACTCCTCGCGTGGGACATGAGCTCGTTGATCCATCTACGCAAAATAAAACGCGAAATCTTCCCTCTACATTTCATTAATTTTATTTATTTTTAATCTGTATGACTACGACGTCTATGATCTAGAAGTTGAAGCAAAAATGAACAAAAGTTCGCAATTTGTGTTCAGTATCGTTTATTTTGTTCCCATTCGGATTGTTTTTCGATCTTAAAATGTTAACAAACTTACTTAGAAGCTTAATTGAGTATGACTTTAATATTCAGTGACAGTGTTTGTAGGTGTTTCTGACGGACATGTTTGTTTTTTAACTCTTAAAATGTTAAAATTAGCGACCTTGTAGCTGTGAACGTATGTTATTTTGGTTGGCAGATCGAAGAAAAGTATGTATTATTATCGTTCGTTGGCTATAAAACTTGTTTTGAATACCGTCAAAATAAATGACCTGTTTCTAAGTGGAATATAATCAATTAAAGCTACATAAAATTACAAGAACACTGACATTTCATCAATATTATGTGCACATATGCGCTTGATAAACATCACCTGGGGATTAGGCGAGCGTTATTGTTTACACAATGACGATGTTTCCTGCTTCTGGATCTGCTGCGGTGCCGCAGCAAACAATAAATGGGCAAGTAGTGCAAAACGGCAGCACGACTTTGCCTCGCTCCCATCACCAGAGAACAGGTGGGTTTACTTTACGATTTCATGTTTGAAAAGGCCACTGAGAAAATAAGCTGCATTGATATGATTAAAATGTGATTAGGAAGAATGGCCTATACTGATTTTTCTTCACTTGAATATTATCAGTCAGCTCTTAACACATTATATTAGTTTGTTTTTGAGATTATGTATTACACAACTTTAAAAGACTTATTATGCTGTATAGTTATGGTTTAGCGGCATGCTTATTACTTAGCCTAAGCTGATGGCTGGGGTAATATTACGAAAATTTCTTCTGATCAAGGATTACTAAGGTCTTATTCTTTAACATCTGAATATTGTGTGAAGTACTGTCTAATATTCTTAATAATTGACAAATACGATTATTATGGATTTCATGTTACCAATAATATTATACCAAATCAAGCTCTAAAACACTTCATTCCTTACTATTTGTTCTAGTGTCATGAGTCCAAACACAATTGCTCATAGTGTGTTGTAGGTTAATCTAGATGTACTTGCAAGAACACACTTGTTCTTGTCAATGTGGCGTAATAATTAGTGACTTGTTCACAAATATGCTCATTTAATGATAAGTACTTAATGCAAATACCTGTACTACTGAAATAAAGAAGAAAATTGTAAACTGTGTGATATCTTGGCATATACATATTGGTATTGACTAATATAATAAACAGAAATGCTAGAAAACTATACATTTTATACCTGAATATCATGGAAAACAATAGATAGATACCTAAGTCATTGACCTTATTAGAAGATAGAAAATAGTCGTAAATTAAAGCAGTAATTGTAGTTGATAAGCTTAAAATGAAAAAATTAGAACTAGTAGATGTTTGTTACTGAACTAAAATATAAATTAACATTCTACAAAAAGATAATTTAATATTCATTTAAATGTAAATTAGATCTAGTTTAAATACATTTTGTATTAGTTGGTATTGTCATGTAAAAATACATGACTAGATATATACGTAGTTGTAGTTAGAGAAGAATATATTCTCGTGTTTGTTTAAGGTCGACCACCAGCAGCTCCTAAATCATATGACTACCTTTTAAAAGTGCTACTAGTTGGTGATTCTGATGTTGGAAAACAAGAGATCCTTCAAGATTTAGAGGATGGCTCTGCAGATTCACCCTTTTGCAGCGGTAGTGGTGAGCATTAAAAAATGTGCTAATATCTATGATAGATGGCAATACAGAATTATTTCTTTCCTTACGGATCCATCCAATTCACAGATATTGTCATTAGACGCCTGCGGCTCTGGCATTAGAAGCAGGCATAAGGATGCTGGTAACTGTACCTGTGAAACCTAACCAATACATCAGCTTTTCTGAGTTTCTCGGTTGACCTTCATAGCAGTTCACGATTCAGATCTGCTAGTAAATGCATTCGAGATGCACCTACCCTTGAGCTGATAGGCCTCCTACAGAGGCATTCGGGCATCTGTTAGCAAATCTCACTGCTCTTAGTTGAGCCTGTGCTTGTCTACCTGCTCTGGCGAAACTGGAAAGGCCTATATACATCCTTCAACTAAGTAAAAAATCTTACCATTTGCATAATAGTCCTCATAGTGGCAAACAATGCTTCATACAAAATTCATCAAATTATCACATTACTATAACCCACCCAACTTAGGTTGCAACATGTAAAATAACTAAATTCTTAAGTGTTAACTACAAATGTTAATTAATATTACACAAGTTAATCATTAGACTTAATAACAATTTTATTTGAAAATAAATAGTGATGAACTTGCAGCGTATTATTGTTAACGACACTTTTCATCAAAGTTACAATCAATGTCAAATTATTTTTATTAATGATTTTAGGATACAAGACCACGACAATACTTTTGGACGGAAAGAGAGTTAAGCTCCAGCTATGGGATACCTCAGGACAGGGAAGGTTTTGCACTATAATTCGTTCATACTCACGTGGGGCCCAAGGTATTCTGCTAGTATATGACATCACAAATAAGTGGTCTTTTGATAGTATTGACAGGTGGCTTGAAGAAGTTGAAAAGGTAAAGTATTTTTGTTTAAACTGTTGATTTTATACTTTATTGTTGGCTTTGATCAGATATAATTTCTATTTTTTTCAAGATGTTGCGGGTTAAGAAGCAATTTTTATTGATTTTTTAAAACTGTTAAATACTTACAAAAAACAAATATACAAAATTAAAAGTAAAAACAATAAATACTATTTTTTTATTGTGATGATGTATTCATATTTTTCAATATCTCGCTTATTGAAATTCATTTTAATGTAACATTGAAAGATTTTCATTTTGAGAGACTAATGCTTGTATGTCCTATTTAATTGTTCTTCAGTAACCAAAAGAGAATAATGTACTCCAAACCTACGCTAATAACAATATTCATTTCCTAAACTAAGAATAAATGCCTATGGTTGAAAAAAGTCATTTGGAATGGAATATTTTTCTCTTATATTGCTCTCCTGCTTTGTCTGACACGCCAGTATTAGATATTCCTTGTAGCAGACTGATTATTTATTTACAATAACAATGTGTACGAAAAGTAAAACGTGACATACATCAAATATACAGGCACAAGCTGAAGTTCGCCTATTGTCAATAAGAAGCGGTGACGCTTTATCTAAGAAACGAAACTTTGACATTCAAAGCAAAGGCCGGGTCAAGTATCTACTGCAAAGACCGTTCTAAAAATGTTAACAATAGTAATCATTAAAAAAATTACAACTTGAAATATTTTATTTACAAATTTATAGACTTTACGGTTTTGATGTCGAGAAATAATTAAAGCAGAGATAGTAAAACATGTTACTGATGTTGTTTCTTGATTAATGTATTGCTTAGTGTGAAAAGTTTATTCTAAATATTTATTACGTTTTCAGCATGCACCCGGTGTCCCAAAAGTTCTGGTCGGGAATAGGTTACACCTCGCTTTCAAACGGCAAGTACAAGAACGGGATGCTGAAATGTATGCTGCAAAGAATCACATGGCTTTCTTCGAAGTGAGTCCGTTGTGCGACTTCAACATCAGGGAGAGTTTTTGTGAACTCTCACGGATGGCCCTTCACAGAAACGGCATGGAGAGACTCTGGAGGAGCAATAAAGGTTAGTAAAAAAAAGTAGAGTATATACATAAATACAAATAATTATAATTAAATGACAACAAAACACATGTATTTCGTTTCAATTATGAAAGTTGTTAAGTTAAAATCGCTAGATTAATCTATACAAAAAATATTCATATAATTCTAATCTCAAATCTAAAATCTTTAAAAAGGGGCTTCAACCTTTTTTTTAGGAAAACAAATTTATCTATAAATTAATGACTGACTCGGTGGTGCAGTAATTAGCGCTCATGACTGTTTCGTTGAGGGTCATGGGTTTGATTCCCACATCAGGCAAATACTTGTGTGATGAACAAGTTTATTTGCTTTTTGTCTGGGTGCTTGTTATCTATATATGTGTATATTTAAATGTATATATGTTTGTCAGTCTCTGGTGTCCATAATACAGGGAATCCTAATTTGGGGCCGGATGAACGTGCGTGATTTGTTTATCGTTATTATTATTATTATTATTATAAAACAGTGGGCCCAATGTTTTCTTTTAAACTTTCTAGGAATTTTATCTTATTATAACAAAAAATATCATAGTTTCTTGTTTCTTGCAAAATTGATTGTTATTCATGTTAATTTTTTATTTATTGCTTAGATGGATGGACGAGCTCACAGCCCACCTGGTGTGAAGTGGTTACTGGAGCCCATAGACATCTACGACGTAAATGCGCCACCCACTTTGAGATATATGTTCTAAGGTCTGAAGTATAGTTACAACGGCTGCCCCAACCTTCAAACCGAAACGCATTACTGCTTCACGGCAGAAATAGGCAGGGTGGTGGTACATACCCGCGCGGACTCACAAGAGGTCCTACCATCAGTAAAAAGTAATAAATTTCAAATGTTTCAGTACTCAGTCTACAAGAGCTGTGCTGTCGTGCAATAGTAGCGCGGACATCCGTGTACGGTCTCGAAAGGCTTCCATTACCGAGCGCCCTGAAGTCCCATCTCAAGTCGTACGCGATATCGGCCGCCCCGAGCCGGCACCGAGCCCGCACGACCAAACACACGCATCATACGAGACTCAACTGCACCGGTCGTAACTCATGTACGATTGCCTGAAAATACACCCCCCCAACCCCCCGCCCTGGTATGTCGCACTCACACTTTGCACGTATTGACGGTGTGTCATGATATTCTTTGAACGCCATTCGAATTAAGGTATTAGCAGTTATCGCGCATATCGTTTCGTGATTTGTGTGACATTGCGGTGTGAAATCAACAAAACTGACAAGTTATGAGAAATGATGACTGGGCAAACAGTGCTAAATACAAAATAGAAAATGTTTATATAGAAATTTATTTCTCACAAATGTTATTCAATCGAAGGTCTGACGATGCTATCTATAATAATGCAAATTTATTTCGGGACAAGTTATAAACCTTGAGGTTCTAATTTGATTTTTTAAGATTTAATAAATTTAATTATTCCTATTGAACATTTAGTATTTCGGAGTTATCACTATTTGACCGGTGTCGCAGATATGTATTGACCCTATCGATCAAAACAACTTTTATGTTAAATACTTTTGTTATATAATTTTGCGCCAAGAGTTTTTAGTGTGAGTGTGCGCGTTATATTCATAAGCTCTTAATGTCCATATATTTAAATGTAAATAAAGACTGCTCATATTTTCGACGATAATCAAACATGGATAAACATTTAGAATAAAACTGCCAAATAATGTTATAAATAAGTATAATGGACTATACCATAAAATATGTAAGAGTTGCATATCGACGCTTGAAAGGCAAACATGACTAAGCGACAATAACTGCTTTGTACATAAATGATAGGCAATAACCATATTCGATGCGCAAAAAATATATATTTCTAGGTCTATTAAAATCATTTCAATCCTACAGCTACTAGCTAGATTCGTTAAAATAAATTTTGTTTTCAGGTATTTCAACTTTAAATTAGTCTACTGTAAAGTTCACGCATTGTCGCTTAGTCACGTTTGCCTTTCAAGCGTCAATATGAATGTGTGCTTATTAAATATAGTTGAAACGATGATGTCAATAGACGACAAAATCCTAACGCAACACGGGCTGTAAACTGACAACGGATTTGTAATTAGATTATAATTAGAATTAAGAGATTGTTACTTAAACTGATTATGTGAATAGTGTTATTTAATTATTAATATGAATGTAAACATTACAGCGTTGTGTCTGTATTTTTTAGGGTGGATTATGTATGATTATTTTCATTTTCTCAACCACACAGCACCTTGATACGCTTCAATATCAACTCTCTAGTTTCTCTAAGAAAAGGGAACTGAGAATCAATTTAAAGACTATCAACTTGATTTAAATAATTCAATCGTAGCATTTTTTCATTTTTGTAACAAAGAGCAAGGTCAACCGCAATAAAGTAAAGTTAAAGTTTATATCCATCCTAAATTGTAAGAATTTTAAATACTAAAAAAACTTAATGAGTGTTAGCGAACTGAAGAGTTATGTTAATTATTTACCCGTTTAATGCTTGGTGTCGATTACAAACGATGTGCCATTTAATGTTTTGGCGCGTTAAGTGTAAGATTCTAGTTTTGCATGCACCGATAGTAAATTAATAACTTATTTATTCGTGTATTCACATAACGGTGATGGTTTATATTCATTTATTATATTCACATATTAATTAGACTTTGTAAAAAAAAAAAAACTAATATTCACGTGTTTTTGTATTTGGCAATTGTACAAGTCCACTAACAAATTAAGTTAAATGTAAGTTCACGGTATATGTAAATAATTTAACAATGGCGTAGATTCATATTTCGAAAAATTATAATTTCATACCAAATTTTTTCTCTAAAACTGTAGTATCTTTGTTATATGATATTGGCTATTTTCAGAAATGTATTATTTAAGTAAATTATTGTTTAAGATATTATTATTGTGCCTGTGTTGCACTGCATGTCTGATTTTTTACCCAAATGGTTGTGTAAGTTTAACCATGTGATGACATTTAAATGATCAATTTCATCAATGAAATACGCATCTTTATATATTTTTGTACTTGCGTGTTGAATATGTGTCGATCAATAATAATTTGGTTAATTCCGTCCCTAGCAATAAATGTGGCATTGATATGTCCTATGACCAGTCTAACAAGTATGAATTGATCAATATATGTGACTGAAAAGCAGTTTATTCGTAGAATATAATATTCTTTGTTTATTTAAAAAAAAAAAAACAATTGTAACGGTTTTATTCAAAAGCTCGCTTCATTGGTTTTAAACATACTATGCTTTTCTTTACAGCCTAAAGCTTGGGTCTCATATTTTCAAAATTATTGAACATTTTACATCATTATTGACGAACCATTATACAGGATAGTAATGGAAATTATTGTATTGGTTTTATGCTCGGCCGCATATTACAAGAAGTTCACCAGAATAATTTTATTAAATCATTACCTTCCGCAAGCCTTCACATTATCCAGACGTTAATAGTAGCAATTAAGCCAGTGTTGCCAACTGGTAATGTTCAAAACCAGATATTCAACTTCCGAAACATGTTTCGTAAATATTCTCCACTGTATTAACTGATTTTGGTTATTAAATCCCAGAACTCATATTTTATTATAATTGCCTTCGAATTATAATATAGATTTTCATTTTAAAATATAAAAGTAAAAGCATATTTAGGCAGCTAAATAATTCGTAGGGAATCTAAGCGAATTTGTCTCAGAGTCAAAGTCACAATAAGTAACTCATCATTATAGTATTTTCAATGTTTGTCGATCTTTGTATTAAAACAAACAAAACTCAAAGATGAACAAATGAATTCGCTTGACTATATTGTTAAACCTGCACAATAATTTTTAATTTTATGATACGTTACATTTTAATTATTTTTTTGTTGTTCCTGTGGCATGAATTACAAAATATATCATCAGTTATTTTCATTTCGAAAATAGTTCCTCCATACCCAGTAAGATACCTTTGCCTAAAAATAGGATTTGATTATTAAATAACGGATAAATGTTAATTGTTGATTAGTGATTTTTTTATTTGTGAAATCTCTATAGACTCCCTTAAATTATTATGACATAATAACTCTGAAATTCATAAATTATTTTTAAAAATAATATCGTAAAATTTTCATCTTTCGATTTGACCTTAAGTGAACGTGACCTGTACGCGCTTCAGACGCGCCGGCTAGTTTTCTGACTGAAACTTCGCATAATATGCGGCCGGAGTAATACGCCACAAATTCAAATAAACTGTCGAGAAGACTATGAAGACTGAACTCCATACCTACGTTCATAGACACATTTAACACAGTTGTGTAATAAAATTATCTAACAAAAATAATAAATTTTAATACATTGTTGAATTTTTTTTGTTTAAATTAAAAAATGTACTGTACATATTCTATTAAAGCTACTTTTATTTTTCATGTGATAGTTTTAGTTTCTAGGTTACATAATCCAAATACACTAATGCCAGCTAAAAGTTTGGGTTAGGTGAATACAGTCATAACTTTATAACTATTATACACCCTAATTTAAGTTGTGAAATAAAACTAATTTATAAATAATTCGCTGTTTAAGTGCTTAGAATAAGAAGGTACTGCGATTTCGTTGTTTATAGAGGGCTTTTTGGTTTATCGATAAATGGCTGCTGCCCGCGGCTTCACTCACGTGGCCAAGGAAAAGTCTCAATGGGTTGTTTATCGCGATTAATACTACACAATTCGTGAGCATCTATAAAATATTTATACACACATGAACACCCAAAGAATAAAAGCATACCTGAATATGTCTGTTGTCTCGGAATCTGCGGACCCAACGCACTCTGATTTGGACACAAATCGGTGCTTACCTTTAAAGCTAAACGGACGAATTCACTTAAGTTCTCTAAATACATGGTTTTCCCTTGCGAATGAGATGAGTTGACCTAATATCATTTGAAAAAAGCAATACGATTGCTTCGTTTCGACGTAAAAGTAGAACAAACAAACACACTTTCACAGTTATAAAATATGTATGTATTCCCATCTGTCCTGATTTTTTGGAAGCACTGAGCTTACACTGACATTCCTTCCTAGGGTTTTGTATGCGTGCCATGGGTAGTCCTTTGCCCATTATTTCAACTTTTTCACATGGGTCAGTGTGCGTAATGCGAGTTTTTTAAGTTCTCGATAATAGTGTAAAAATTAATTCAAATTTGTAAGCAGTTGGAACAGAGCTCCCTAGCGTCAAACATAGGCAAACACATTAACTCCATACAAATTTGAGTTAACTTTTACGCTATCGAGAACGTTAAAATACTCGAACAGTCTAACATTGGTCTGTTGTGCACAGTCTGCTGACATGCTCCTATATCTAGAGCCACAGCATTCATCTAGTGCTTGATGTTGTATTTTTGTAATGCTCTTGTTGAACAGAATAGTTAACGGTCCATCTGATATATAGTTGTCGGAGCCTTCACGGCTACACCACCACGTTGAGACGACAGTCGAAGTCTTAGTTGCACGGTAGTATAATTTATATTATATTAGCAGGGGACCCTTAAATCCGGGACGCGTAATCTTTTCGCGGCAGATAAAGGATACTGATACCTTGATGATCTTGTAGTCGTCGTGGCCTAAAGGATAAGACGTCCGGTGCATTCGCATCTAGCGATGCACCGGTGTTCGAATACCGCAGGTGGGTACCAATTTTCCTCTCTAGGACCTCTTGTAAGTCCGGACGGGTAGGTACCACCACCCTGCCTATTTCTGCCGTGAAACAGTAATGTGTTTCGGTTTGAAGGGTGGGGCAGCCGTTGTAACTATACTGAGACCTTAGAACTTACATCTCAAGGTGGGTGGCGCATTTATGTTGTAGATGTCTATGGGCTCCAGTAAACACTTAACACCAGGTGGGCTGTGAGCACGTCCCCCATTTTAAGCAATAAAAAAAAACTAATCGTGCGGGTGTGATTAAATAAACGGAACCAATTTTTCTCCTAATTCCCGTCTACTACCTACTTAGCGCTGCGTTTAACTTGTTCTTTTCCTTACAGAGGAACTAGTTATTAAAGATAGTCCTAAAGGTATGACCTATCCGTTTTTCATAATTTTGCTGATGATGATAAGAGGTGTGCAGCAATACGACCACAAAGGCCTGTCTGCTTTTTATATACCTACATAGATACCTACATCATTTGAATTCATGTCTTACGAGGAGCAAAATTGAAAATGGTAAAAAAAGTTACAAATTTCACGAGAAACAACTTGCGCGTTACGCACGTCTTATATAAACATAAATCGATAGAACTTAACATGCGCGTCGTCTACGGAGTTCATTTCGTTCGGGCCATGTGCAAACAATGGTCGTTATCTTTGCTGGCGATTCCCTAACGACATAAACCAACCAAATGTTTGATAGAACAAAGAAATGTAAACTCTCGCATAAGATGATGATACGCCTTAATAATTTTTTGTACGTTTTTAATTTGCGCCAAGGTACAATTCTGATTGCCGTCCATCAGATTGTAAGTATAAAGTACTTCCAGAATTTCATTAAATATTGTTTAAACCAAGTTCTAAAGGAGATTTGCATATTGCAGGCGCTTTCTTCGTTTATTTTGATAATCTTATTGGTTGGCATATCTCACGTTGGAGAAATGTTAAACATGCTACACAACGACATGGAAGATGATGCAGAAAGGCGAGGATTTTATGAAGTAGCTTACGGCGATAAGCTCACTTTTCATGAAGGCGAAGTTACAAGCAGAAACAATCAGCGGCGTTTTGCGAAAGCTCAGCATCTTGCTTCAGGTATGTTTTAAGCAAAAGTTAGAAAAGAAAATACACGTAAAATATACAAGAAGACCGTTTTTCCGTTACGTACCTATTTCCATGTTCGTCGATCAACTATATTTGTTCTTAAAGTACCTACCTTTTTTATTTTATTGGTAGGTAATTCATGGGTACCATGATAACCTAGCTAGAGGTTCTATGCGCCTTTGTATTATGAAACTAATGGCTTTATGTTTAGTTACAAGTGACCAAACTGGTGTACTTTAATAACATTGATATAAAAACATTGTTAGTATTCTTTTTATGTTTCAGTTACAGTGATATTCCTGTATACAAGCACCATCTTGACCTCGATATACCTAATGTGTTGTATCTCACTGCTGCATGGCGCAGTTAAGTACAAACGCGAGTATGTTCTGCCCTGGATAATGGCGGCTTGTGTCGGAGTCGTGTTGCTGATCGTTGCCATAGTAGTAGGGGATGGATACCCTTGTATTGTTAATTTGTTTGGAAGTCATAACTTTTACCGTAAGTGCTCTTAACGTTTTCGAAATATTATTCACATTTTACTATGTATAGATCATAAATAATTAATCCATTATGATTAAAATTTAATTAATTAAAATTTGAAAAACATAAAATCTTAAAACTTGAACGTTTTAGGTGAGCGAAACTTTACACTGCCTTTCGCTTTTTTCTAATTCGGCAATCGACAGGACTTATAATCTGAATTTACATAGCTTGTAATGTTGCTTGTGATGTAGGTCCATTGACACACAGAGTCAAGTGAGAAGACGGTCTGTGTACTTGTTGTACCAAGCGATACGACTATATCAGTGCTCATATCCCGTATGCAGGTAGGTACCAGTTTTTCTAGGGAAATACGTACTTACACATGTTCACGAACAACTGTCGCGAAGCAAGTATAAATTCCTGCTGCTGTGGCTTGAAGGGTGGGATAGCCGCTATATCTTAATAAGATTAGAGCCTGCATCTGTGTTGAAATCTGTAGGATTTCCCGTAATCACTTAATACCACGAGGTACGAGAAGAGTTCATCCATTAACGTAATAAATAAATTAAGAATTACTAGCTGTTTAACTTTGGGCTATGAAAGAAGTCGAAAGTCGCAATTTTTATTTATTGCTTAAATGGGTAGATGAGCTCACGGCTCATCTGGTGTGAAGGGGTTACCGGAGCCCATAGACATCTCCAAATGCTGCCACCTACCTTGAGATATAGTTCTAAGGTCTCCGTTTTTAAAGTATAACCGCTGCCCTACCTTTAAATCCGAAACGCATTACTGCTTTACGGCAGAAATAGGCGGGGTAGTGGTACCTACCCGTGCGGACTCGCAAGACGTCCTACCACCAGTAGTTAATTACGCAAATCATAATTTTGCGAGTTTAATTTTTATTAGGTACACTATGTTATTCCTTCACCGTGGAAGTCAATCATGAACATTCGTTAAGTACGCATTTCATTAGAAAAATTGATACCTGCCGGCGGGATTCGAACACCGTTGTATCGTAAGATACGAATGCACCGGACGTCTTGTCCTTAAGGCCACGACGAATTCAAAACTTTTGAGCTTTGTCTCTTTAGTCAATACTTGGTTTATAAGAAAAGTTCACAATCAAGGTGGGTGGCGCATTTACGTTGTAGATGTCTATGGGCTCCAGTAACCACTTAACACCGGGTGGGCTGTAAGCTCGTCCACCCACCTAGCAATAATTTTTTTTTATGCTGAAACGAAAAATCTCAACACCAAGGGAAAAATAATACCAATTGCAAAGTTGACCTTATATAATAATTTAACGACGCAAGAGATCCTGGTATAAACAGCAATTAAGTGTAAAATAGTCTGCGATCGTAACATGTTCTAGGTTTTCGCGATAGGCATCTTAACCACCGAAACGATAACTTGACCGGTATATACGACTGCGGCATACGATCATGAGTTCGAGTTCGTAGTACTGCTAGTTTCTAGATTTCCACAGGGTTTACAGTAGGAAAGCCGGAAGTAACAAAATTACGTACATGCGTTGTCGTTACACAGGAGGAAGACTGACTAGGAATTGAATGTTCTTCTTCTTGCTTCGGTTTCCTCAATAATCGCAACAAGAATTTATTCCGGATCATTCCACGCCATTTGATTCTTTTATTTGGGATTTCTTTTGAATTTAATATAAATCGCATAAAATTTTAAATTTAGATTTTTACATTTACCAACCATGGTCCAGAAATACTGGGTGGGACTTTCATTTCCATGGACTAGAGCCAAAAACAGAAAAAGATCGTTCGATGCGAGAACCCGAAAATAGCTACTGATTATACTAACGTTTAATTTTTAAGCTATCATAAGAAAATTACCTACGGGCATTTGTTTTTTTTTTACTTTATTCTTCTTGTTTTTTGAAAGTTTGTTTTCAGCACATAATTTCTTTTTCAGATTTTGGTTGCGCTCTGTTTGTGCTGACCTTCATCTATGCGATTTGCGCAGTGAGCAGCTTCGCGTTAGAAACGGGCAGCGGGCGATGTGCTCGATCTAATCTGGCCAACAGCGACGAGCGTGGAGAACGCCTATTGTTACTCGATCATGCTGCACACTCGAGCCTGCTTTCTGCCGCACAACTCAATAAACTCTCAACTGGAACGCGATCGCAATTCGTCTAATTCGTGCTTTTATAAAACACCAATTTTCAGAGGTTGAAAATCTAGCATTTTAGAAAATAAAATAATAAACAAATATGTTAAAACAGGGATGATTGCAAATTGAAATTATTTGAGTCATAGAGAACTTTTATTAACATTAAATTGGATACTAATTGAATTTCATTAAAAAAAAGTCGAACCATTTTTTTTTTATTTCCAAAGTCAACATACCTAGTCAGGTCATAAATTCTGTCACATGTTTAATGTAAAATAATTGAAACAAGAATTTCCCGATTTTTTTTTCCTGCGTACCGCTTCAACAAAGCGCGGCATCTCTTCAGTCTCAGGTCCATTAGACGAGCATTCAAACGATGTCCTGTTTTTCTTCGATATGCCCGAAGCCCTAAGTCTTCATTTAACACCCTTTTCACCGTGGTTCTGCTTAACCCCATCTGAAGGGCCAACAGTTTCTGCTTACGTTTGGGATTTCTTTGAATTCGCGCCTTCACAGCTTTTATCACTGCTGGAGTCCTAACAGACCGAGGGCGACCACTTCTTGACCTGTCATCTACACTAGTCTTCATTGTATCGTTTGATGGTACGATAATTTTCATGTTTATTTTCATGAACAATTCGAAATTCGAATTCAATAAACATTTTTGTGGCCAGCATTCTAAAAGAAAAGTTTTTACTGTGTGACAATACTTATGACCTGACTAGTTGTATTGAAGTTTATTTTAAAAATGACTTCCCACTAATAAAATATCTGTAATTCAGACTAATTTTAAAATTATTACAGTTTCATTATCCCTGTTAAAGATTTCAGTTGCAGACCATAATCTCTTGAAATATTATGAGTTTTATGTATGTAGTAACTGACGTAATGTTAATTACTTTAAAGTGAAATTAAATTCCAGAGTACTTTATTTAAAGTTATACTTTTGCCGACCTAATACTCATAAATAGCCACATTTGTTTGTTAAAAACATAACAAAAGATTTATTTTATTAAACTATCAAATAATATGGCTTCATAAGCAAACAGTACCCTAATAATACAGATACAAATTTTATGAACATTATTTTCTATTTAAAGCAGTTTACATAAATTAATGTTAATATAATAGTTCATTTTAATTTAGGATATTTAAAACTATATTAACCTGCAAAAGAGCACAAATGGTGGACTAATTTCTATTGATAAATTTATTTTTGGTATGGCTTTATAAATATTAAAGAAAATAATTGTAACTTTCAAGTTATGAAAGATTTTATTATTGCAAGTGCAACATGTAATTGTCATGTTTGGTTACTGTTATGGTCTATTCAAAATGCTACAGCAAAAATAAAAGTAAATTATTTTATTATCCTTATTTTATTTATTTACACAGTTACAGTTTATATCATATCTCAATTATTAACTTTTTTATTGCACAATGTTGTGGCACTCGTAACCCACCATCGGGTGGGTGGTAAAGTGGTCACTACTAATTGGTATTGGCCAGTGGGCAGAAATCTTATCATCCAAAATGGCCAAATATAGATAATATACAATTGAAATTGATTCAAACAGCTATTTTCCATAGCCTTGCATTACAAAAATGTTTTCTCATACTTACATGGCAACATTTTTGAAATGCCTAAGTGCTCTACTAGTTCAAAAGTATTACTCCGTGCCCAGACTAATAATTTCATTGAAGAGCCATAGCCAAGCAGTCAAAGAACCGCATGTAGCTTTTGAGTCAGGCATTGCGGACCACTTGTATAGGTGATGCCAAGGCCACAACCACATTCCTTAACCTATTCAACCCCATCTGCCATTTTGTAAAGGTCTCTGTATCCCCTTGAATCCCTTTGCTAAAATAAACTTTTCTGAAGATTCAGTCCTGCTTGCCATCGGCTTTAATATCTTTATATTCTTATAAAACCTTGCTAAATCCATTTCTAGTATAGGAACTTCTTTTCCATCCCATACTTTAAATAGTAAATTTCCTTCTCTTTTTGTCACAAGTGCTGCAAATCTGATAGCCATGTAACAGAGACCAATTATTCTATCTTTATCCAATTCCCGGACACCTGTTGCACTGGGAGCCATGTCAGAGAGAACTAGATCAACTTGTTGGCCATTTAAAACTTCTACAACTTTGTCATGTGCTTCAATTGTAGAGAAATCCATGTTATTTAGTATTGTTGCTCCCTGTTGAAAAAGATGTTGTATGGAACAACTACTATACATATTGATGCTTGAAAGGCAAACGTGACTAAGCGACAATGTGTGAACTTTACAGTAGACTAATTTAAAGTTGAAACACCTGAAAAAATTCTGTTTTAACGAATCTAGCTGTAGGATTGAAATGATTTTAATTGACCTAAAAATATATTTTTTTGCACATCGAATATGGTTATTGCCTATCATGTATGTACAAAGCAGTTATTGTCGCTTAGTCACATTTGCCTTTCAAGTGTTGATATATTATAATTATTTGTGATTATGTGAAGTACTGGGTACAGTGGGAATTCAATTTCTTATTTAGTTTTATTTCCAAGAATATAAGTAACATGATATGAAAATGTAGATAAGGGTCCACAAATAATTTTAAATTACCTGAATAGGAAAAATCTGAAGTTTATCAATTGACAAGACTGTTCCCTTGGGCTTACTAGGATCTGCACCATCCGCATTTGTTTTCTGAACCGCCACTTGCGTCCAAGAACCGGGACATGCTCCAAGATCAATAACAGCTAGGCCAGGTCTCAATATATTGGTTCTTTCATTCATCTCCAATAATTTGAAGGCACTGCGACATCTGATGTTTACAATTAATGATTATTCATTTTCTTGAAATATTTACTAGAGAAAATGTGACTCTAAATAGCTTAATCTATCATTAAGTAATGCTGTTACTTCACACCTATCAATGTTATCATGCTATTTTAAGAAAACACAATATTACACAGGATTTAAGTATAGATTGGTTGTTGATAAGTTTCAACTTAAACTTACCTATAGTTGTATATCTTAGCTTTCTCTACATAAGGATCAGCCTTTTGACGACTCAGCCATTCTTGTGAACTTTTAAATCTTTTTAGACAATTCACTAAGAAGCACATTCTCGTGTAATTCAATTTGATATGCGTCACTTCTCGATGCGAACAAAGCATTGTGATTCCGTCTTTGTTTTTAATGCAAAACCCAATTAATATATATTTATATCACGATATTTCAGTGATGCACAAGCACAAAGTTTGTTGTTCTCCTTCAAAAATTCAATACAGGTTAGCACGAAGTTAGATCTTCAGACTTCAATCATCAATGGTACCGTACCTTATTATTTTCGTTTCTATTTCGTTTTCTGTTGTGAATTTACATACATACATTATTCACCATAGATAGGTAATACACTTACATAATATTTGATATTATTCATTAATTTTCCATAACATACCATTTCCCTTTTCCTTTACACTGAGAATAATCTATGTCCTTTACCCTTTTTTTAAGGGATTTTATGACCTGGTAACTAAGACCTTTAGGTCAAATCTCTTTTTATTTGGCGGGAACGCGAAGAGTAAAGTTATGTGTGAATTGTTTTATTTTGTCTATTTAGTGTTTCTTCAGGTATAAATATACAGTAACGGTGGTTTATTAACTGTTTAATATCTTTGAAAGTGCACAAATGTGGGAAAATGAAGCAAAGTCGCTGGACGTATTATAATTTCTTGGGATCCTCCAAAAAGTCCACTGAAAAAGTCTCAGTAAATAATAATAATTTTTTACTTTTTGGCGGGAACGCGTGAAGTGAAGTTGTGTGATTTGTTTTATTTTGTCTATTTAATGTTTCTTCGGGTTTAAATGTGTAATAACGGTTGTTTATTAACTGTTTAGTATCGGTGAAAGCGCTGAAATGTGGGAAAATGAAACAAAGCTTTAATTAATAACAGTTTATGAATAATAAAAAACGTAGGAAACTTAATCAATTAGCATGAAATTAAATTAAATGAGATGAGATGATATGGGATGAAATATAATCTCAGTAAATGACCATCATCATTGTGATGGTCATTTACTGAGACTTTTTCAGTGGAGTTTTTGAAGGATCCCGAGAAGCCACAAACGGCGATTTTGTTTTATTTTCCTCAACTTAAGCACCTTCACAGATACTAAATGTTTATTATGTCACTTTTAATACATGTCTGTACCTGAAGAAAAACTAAATTATCAAAATAAAAGAATTCACGCAGCTTCGCTTGAAAGCGTTTCCGACAAAAAGTCTCTTTTGAATTGGATGGAGTGTCAAACTTATTTTTGTCTCAAAGTTCATCTGAACAGGCAAAGAAAATAGTGTCATTAAAGATATATTTTTTGTATTAAAGGAAAGTAAGACAGTGGAATTTTACTGAGAACTCCACAGACTTTTTTAAGGATCTGAATGTCGTATCCGGCTATGTAAACTCATATCATAGAGTAAGATTATATATAACCTAAACTCATATCTACATCAGCAGACTTTCTACCATAGATTATACACTTAATATATTCGAGACTTTCTACGTCCATGTATTTATAGATACAGCTATGCATATATTTTTTTCCAGTAGGTGAACTATATAAATAAATTAACACGTAATTCCTTTAATGTCTAGTTCCAGTAAATGCATGGAATCATGGAACCCACTATACCATGGCCCACTATATTTTTTCTATTTGGAGAAATGCTTACAAAAAGCAACCCACAACGGCCACAACTTTAGACCCATTGGAGTATGGTTTGATTGACCAGGACAACATATATGCCTTCAAATGGTTAGAAGGTGACCAACTTCCATCTTTTGTGAATGAATTAATCCCCAATGTTCCTGGTGAGTTGATAACAATTCTTTCTCGAACATGTTCAGATCAATTTACGTTCATTTTACAATTTATGTTTTACTTTTGCAGAATTCGATTCAATCGATGATGAACAAGAGTCGCTTAATGATAAAGATGACTCCGATGATGATGACAAATGAAGATTGATATATATAAAATATATTTAAATATATATTGTAATGCATGCATCATATATTTTTTTAACTGATTTAACACTTTTAAATTTTGTCTAGACGAAATTACAGCAATAAAGCATTATACCGTATTATTTATAATTCTTCCATAACAAATTCACTTCTTTGTTGTCTAACTAATGAATTTTAGTATATATAAAATCTAAAAAAATATTAATTTCTGTAAATACATTGCTAAAGTAAATTATATTCCTCTAAAACAGTGAACGGAAAACATATGCATCTGGCCGGGTAGTAGCTAAGATTTTATTATATTATGTTGATGTGGGTACGCAATGTAGACGTCTGCCGTGAACAATATAAGTTTTTAAGACTTTAATAAACAACATATATCAATGGCAGATCTGGTCAATTACTTTCAAAACTTTATTTTTTAAGCATTTTCAAAGATGTCTGCCACAAAGTAAAACGCGCGATAATGGTCTGCCATTCTTATTTTCCGATAATAATAATCATATATTTTAAAATTTCAAAACGGCAGACGTGGTCAAATGGATTTAAAATCCGTCAAAAATCGATACCTGTCCTACCTGAACGCTCGGCGCGTTGACCACTTTGAGCTTAGTGAGTCCCCACCTCATGCATGGTAGGTATAGGGGTCTCAATGAACAACAATTCAGGTCTGGTCAAATACATACAGGTATCCGCCCACGGGCTCTTGGGCTATGAAGTGGGCTAGTTTATGGCGTTGTTTTAAAATCTTTCCACTTTCAGCGAACACCTTAAAATATACTGAAATGGTGCTGCTTAGTTCTACCCTCCATAATGTTTAGCTAAATTTGGTTTCCATGTCAATGAAGATGTATTTCAATAAAATGAGTTAATTGGTATGGGTGATTTTGCGGCTGCTAATTTCTTACCTTTTATTTTTCTCATAAGCTACCTATGCCACTTTCAGAAAAAAATCATATATAATTTAAATTTGGATTAAGCTTAATACATTGAGAGGTTCTTATCTATTATGATGGAACGTTTTTGATGAAAAATTGTTAAATAGATAAAAACACATAGAGTTTGTAACACAATCATAAAGTAGACAAACGAAAGTTCCAAAAGAAACTGAGTAATGACATGATGATGAAAATAATACGGAAGACAATGATTCTGAATATCTAGAGTAGGAAAATGAATGTGTATAATAATAGTACAATTAAGAATTACGGACGCAAAAAAGTAATATTATGCGCGTTCCTCTACCGACACGCAGTTGAACATAGATTGGATAGGAATTATCTAAATAAAATACCTGGTAATTCTGTTAGTGTAAACTTTAATCAAAATATGGAATTCGAGATTCTAAATACTGTTACATCTAACATTTAAAAAAATAAATAAACTGCATAGCCGAAAATAGGATTTTCATATAAAAAATATAATATAAATGCAATTATTTGCTCTTAATATTAAACTTATCCAAGTTAATCTTAATATTTATCGAACCCAGGCAAAGGGAATGATTTGCTGTAGTTTTCAACTTCTTCCTTCAGATTTTCAATTTTCTTTTTGAACTCAGCATTTTCTTCAATGGCTTTATTGAAGTCAACAAGTTTCAGCCCGGACACCTTAAGGATTTCTTGACCTATTTTCAATGCTCTATCAATAAAATCGACAACTTTATCAATATCAGCTTCCTTGAGACCTCTTGTGGTCAACGCTGGTGTACCTGAAAGTTATAAAACATATATTATCAGTAGTTGTCAATCATAAAAAATTTTAAACATAATAAGCTGGAAGTGCGTTGATACAATTGTGATTATTTCAAAACGACAAAGACAATCAAAACTTAAGTTTTTAGAAGTCTTTCGAAAAGTTTACCTAGAAATTATTGATATGGTGGTTATTGAGAAATAAATAAATTTAAAGTATTCAGATGCAGTAAAGTTTTTTATATAGCTCTCTAAAATAATTTTATCATGAATGCATTCAGTACTGAAATCTCATTATCATTACATTTATGATATGTCTTTACATATGTTTTTGTGACCTTCTGTGTGTATAAGACAAGATATACTTTGTACTTATTACTTATTTGATTAGAGTCTCGTGTGATCTTGGGGGTGTATTGTGCACCTATAGGTATCAGCGTCTAGGATAGAGCCGTGATAAAATAAAATTTGTAAAAAATTACAACGCCTGACGTCAAAGCGTCCTAACGCCGCGACAGAGCGTTGCGTACTTATAGCGCTGGGGCTCTGTTTGACGGTATGTTACCATAGTAGTACAACACATCTCGGCGTCATAGCGCGCCGTCAGTTTAGCGTTCTGATGCGCGCTAATTACGCGTTCTGTTTGACGAAGCCTTTAGTAAGGCTGTGTCCGAGTGAATGTGTATTAAAATACTGGATAACGACTGAAAAATTGATAGAAATAGTTAGAAAATACCCATGTTTATACAATGCCACATCTGAATCACTCGAAATCTTAATACTTTTAAATTTTCACACTGCTATCGAAAGGCACTATGATTTGGCGAATGCGTTGCGTCAAGGAGCGTTAGGCTCATCTAGTCAATTTGTGTGACGTGAAAAGAGCGCGACGTTAAAACGCAGCGCTAATTACGCGTTCTGTTTGACGAAGCCTTTAGAGAGTTAAGGATGAGAACTGACCGAGTCTGATGCCGCTGGGGTTGAGCGCGCTAATGTCGCCGGGCACGGTGTTCTTGTTGCAGGCCACGCTGCAGAGCTCGAGCACGCGCTCGGCGGGCGCGCCCCGCAGCCCGACGCCGCGCAGGTCCACGAGCGCGAGGTGCACGTCGGTGCCGCCCGTCGCTATAGAGTACCCGCGCGATATTAAACCCTCGCACAACCGCTGAGCGTTCTTTATCACCTGTAGCAAAAAAAAAAACAACACGTAATAAAAATCAAACCGGCAAATATTATAATTTGCACAATTACTAGTGGAAGGTCGTCTTGAGAGCACGGTTTGGTGGTAATTTCACCTATTTATGCCCCAAAGCATTTATGCGTTCCGTGTGCTTAGTGCGAGTTTTTTAACTTCTTCCCTTCGTTTGAAACTAGGGACGCTGTTGCAGCTCGATAGAAATTTGAGTTAACTTTTACGCGATCTAGAAGTTAAAAAACTCGCACTAAGCACACTGATTTGAAGGATGGAGCAGCCGTTGTATTGTAGAACTGTGACTTAGAACTTATGTCCCAAGATGGGCGGTGGCTTTTACGTTGTTGATGTCTATGGGTTGGTTGCTACCTACGTAACATCAGATGGGACGTGAGTTCATCAGCATGATCTTTAAAACAAGATGTTTGTTTCTTTATTTCAACGTACTAACCCAAATAGTGTTACAATCTGCGTGTTATAGGCTATGAACTTTCTAAATGAACAGAAATAAGTTATACTAATGGCACAAGAAAATAAAAAAATCACAAAAAAATATGGAAATTATTAACTAGAAAGATAGATAGATGATAAATTATACAGTTTGAAACATAATAGACAATACCGTCATATAGGTTTCGGTTTAAGCATCTGTATTTTTAATAAGACTCGTTTAAAGTATGTAAGTAATAATACCGACTCATCTTCTAAATATAAAAAAAAACTGTCTTTTATTAGCTTCGGTGAAAATGACGTCAATTGGTGTGTACGTATGTTTGTAAATAACGGAATCATTTTCATTTCATTTTGACCGTATCCCAGACCTTCGATTAACTTGTCAATTTGCACAAGCATCGAGGACCGATGACAAAACAACAATTTTATAACTTCCCTTCTAATAGGCTGACCAGTATCAAGAACATTAAAAAAAAGGCTAGTTCTGTTTGCGCATTTTTGTTTGTTTGTTTTATACTGCGTATATTTATTTTACAAACCTGTTTCTGATATTCGACGAATTCAGCAGTTGTAGCTTGTTTCATGGCCGTGGCTATGGCCGCTATTGCGTGGTTGTGCGGTCCGCCCTGCAGGCCCGGGAACACAGCCTGGTTTATCTTCGATTCCAAATCGTACATGACCTTCTGTCCGTTCGCCTTGACGGACCTCACGCCCTTGCGGAAGAATATGACACCGGCACGAGGACCACGCAGCGTCTTATGAGTGGTGGTGGTCACAATATCGCAGTATTCGAACGGGCTCGGTATTACACCTATACATCAAAATTATAACAATAGTTTTATAAAGTTGAAGCATGTTTCCTTATGCATCATTTCGATTCAACGTTTATCTTAACATTTTCAAAGACATGACGATTTGCTTCGAGGCAGAGAGAGACAGAATGATCGTTCATATCCACGTATTAATATAAACAATCAGGCATGCGATAAAAACAATTCAAATATAAACTTTTTTAAATTGGCTTTGAGCAGACTGCACCTGCTGATTAGTGGTCACTGACGCTCATGAATATCAGAAATTCTAGGGGCATTGCCAAGCCGCTGTATACCGCTTACAATTGTCCTTAAGCCTCGTACGAAGGACAACATGTCATAGCGTTTAGAAGTTTATTGAAAAGCCGGATAGTGGCAAAAAAATATGAAACTCATTGTAGATGAACGCAGTGTTTCTATGTGGAAAGAATGAGATTTACTCCAGTGCGTTGGTAAAAACTAAATAAAGGGATCATTTCAAACAATTTTACAGAACACTTCTTCCAGCCGCACATACCGCGCGCCCCCTAGACGTGGGAACCACGTAGGAGGTTCGAAAAACACAACAAAAGGACGTGGACATTTTTTTTTATTGCTCAGATGAATGGACGAGCTTCACAGCCCACCTGGTGTTAAGTAGTTACTGGAGCCCATAGACATCTACAATGTAAAAGCCGCCACCCACTATGAGATATTAGTTATAAGGTCTCAGAATAGTTACAACCGCTGCTCCACCTTTCAAAACCGAAACGCATTACTGCCTCACGGCAGAAATAAAAGGAAATCTTGCATTAACTGATTCCTAAATGTGTCACATTTCATGCAGGTGAATCCTAATTGCGTTGCGTTATTCAAACATAACTGTTTATTATTATCTGCGATTGAATCATCAGTACCATTCACCAATGTATACATTGAGATGCCCCCTATGCCAAATATGTAAGTACAAAAAAGTGTAAAACTAATCTCAGCGGTCATTGCCTATTTCAAGCTCTAACTTTTACGTAACGTTTAAAACATACCATATTGATTACCTATTTTACACTCTGTAATCATGTTTTTAATAAACGTGATGCAATAAATAACATTATCTTCATTGTGACAAAACAACATGACCTTACCAATAAACAGTTTAACAAAACTAATTACTTATCTGTTTTAGTAGCTATTTTTAATTTATTATTTATCGGCTTTTTATAGCGTGTAACTAGGCACCCGAATTTTACGACACCAAGTTAAATCATTTGTTTTCTCAGTGATAAGAGGTAGAACCTGTTAAACCCCACTTAAAAATCCCTAATACCTAATTTGAAAGTTAAAATGTTATAACAATAACAATAAAAATAAAACTAAAAACTTTAAGAGTGGTAGCTTATAGAAGTAGTAGGAATCTCCGATCGCTCTAGGCAGCTCAACTTATTTCTTGTCCGTTCGTGATTACTTTAATAAACTATTTCTTATTTTATAACTTAACCATTAAGCTACAATTGCCAGGAATCATTAAACAGACACAGGATGTGTTAATAAGAGTAAGGTGCTGATATTCACCTGCAGCAACCAGTCCAGATACGTGAGCCATATCAGCCATCAGATAAGCTCCATTTGCGTCTGCGATCTCACGGAACCTCTTATAATCGAGACACCTTGAGTAACAGCTCATGCCAGCGATGATCAAACGAGGCTTGAACAACTTCGCTGTTTCTGCTAGTTTGTCGTAATCAATTAATCCGCTTTTAGGATCTACCTGCAGAACAAATATAATTCAGTATTACAAAATTAAATAATTTTAATTAGAACTGCATATTCTAACAAGAATTCGTATTTATGTGTAAGTGGCTGTATTATAATAATATGTGAGAGATCACATTCGAGAGTTGTTATTGGCATAAATAGTGGACAGGTCCTATGACGCACTTGATGCTGACTGATTAATGTCGCTGATGGATAACAAAAATACCTATTTCTATGGCCTCTTGAAAGCACTTGGAGAGTTCACTCCACAACATTATGGTACGTGGCCAAAATGAGCTTTTGCAACACGCTGTACCTATATGAAAGAGACAGATTCATATAGAAAGCACTGTGCTTTGGCAACGATTTACACGATAGCTTTCACTGAAAACGTAGGGTCTGGGCCACTATACAACTTAAGGTATACAGTTTTTCTTTTGCTATTTAAGTTTTAATATATACTAAATATACTTTGGAAATTTACAGGCAGGCAACTAAATAATTTAATTAATATCTTAATAGTTGACAACCGAATATGTGTTTTCTAATTCAAAGTAATTGAATTGAAATTGATTAAAAATTTCGTTTTGTATTAGGTACGTAAATTTATATGAAGTTACTACTAGCTATTTATTGTTATTATGAATGTTGAAATATTTAAATAAAATTACACAAACATGTATTTTAAATAATATTACGTCAAGCGGGTGTGGTATTGATGTCAATATTTATTAGTATCGTTATCAGTTAATAACATTAATTTAATGTAAATATTATTCTTAAATCGAACGCTTTATAGATGCAGAGTTTAGTTCGTAATTACTTATTATATATTTAAACTTCTTTTACGCATTTGCAATTTCGTTCCTAATATTTTGAGATCGGCCAAAAAAAATTACTAAGTAAATAACACATTACATCGATTGGCGTCGTTTTCATTCACATTAGCATTCATTACGATTACAGATATTTTGTATTTTGTTAGATCAAAAATAAAATAAACTATGGTATAAATACTTACTTTATATGGCATGCTTTCAAAGAATATTGACGTAGCAGATATTTTTTTAGTAGCAGTAAAGAAACCATGGGTGAGATGTCCACCGTCAGGTAAATCTAACCCCATTATCCTGCCATGGGGTTCGACAATGCCGGTATAAACGGCAAAGTTCGCCGGAGAGCCTGGTAATAAACAATTCGTTATGTACCTACATGCGATAAATTCCAATTTTAAATGTATATATTTTTATAATTTTATTAGATGTACACAAATAATCTATATTTAATAAAATGGAATTATTTCCTGACATATTACTTTCAAACACAATAAGTTTTACCTCTATTGGTAATTATTGTGCATCAAGAAACATTCACATTAAATGACATAAAAATCGTATAAGTTTTGGTAGGTTTTGATAACTTTAGTGTAAATGAGTCGTCTATTATCAAAGGTGGCAATCTGTGCATTTGGACAAATTTTTTTTTTTGATATGTCAATACAGATTGATTTGAATATAATCGTTTCCTTCAAAGAATACGGTTCAAAACCTGCATTAAATAAAGGTTAATAGTTAACCTGTTATTTATCTAAGATGTCGTTCCGAAGAGTTTTGTGACTGCCGATGGAATACAAAGTCAATAATTCGTTTTTCTGATTTACCAATCATTTTCCAAAAGTCAGATTGCCGCCTTTGATAATAGACGACTCAAATGTAAAAAAGAAAAACCTGAATATGGCTGTACATTGACGCCCCATTCTTCCGATTTTAATCTGTATGCTTCCAGAGACCTGTTCTGTGCCAGTATCTCTATTTCATCAATATATTCATTCCCCCCATAGTACCTGGAATAGAAAAATACTTTACAAAACGTATATGACTAGGCCATGAAATAAACTAAACATATAATTATATTGTTTAGGGTTAGTGGTATACACAACACAGTTTGCACATATTATGCCTTCTTTATTAGTTGGAATGTTAAGTAAAAAATGACACTAAGATGTCTGTAAACCATCCCAGGAATATCACCATCTATTATTCATGTTCTGGCACTCTGGGTTGCTGTATTGTAAGGAAATTTAAGTATTTCCTTTCCTTCAATAGTAGCAGTTTGAATTCACCCTAGACATACTTAGTACAGTACGACGGCTTCCCATCCTTCATATCAAAATGCATTACTGCTTCACGGCAGAAATAGGCAGGATGGTGGTACCTACCTTTGTGGACTCACAAGATGTCCTGCCATCAGTAATTATTAATTTATACTACTATGATGCAAATATTTCTGAAAGTTATGGGTATCTAAAATGAAGTATGATCACGAGGACTAAAGGCTGTTGCAGTAAAAGATTAAGGTAATTGTAATAAAGCTTCACCTCTTAAAAACTGAAAACCATGATGAAGTATTTTATTAAATTCTTAAATTCGAGTGTGCGATAAAAATGTTCAGTTTATATAAAAATTGTTGGAATACTTAGTAAAGTTTCAAATTGTAAATGTTATGTTACTTGAGAGAACAATGGTACGATGTTAACTGTCAAATCAAACAATGCTTTTGCTTCCATAACAATTGCCAAACAGGAAATTACTAACGAGGTTAGGAAATATTCTCAAATACAGAAGAAAGAAACAATATTTGGCTTCAACAAATAAAAATTCAGTCCATTGATAACATTTCATCAATATAATAAATGTTAACTAGAGCAATTGATTGTTGTTTCAAATATAGTAAGAGAATGTACAGATGTAACATTAGTTCTGTAATGATTAACATAATGCATTATTACTAACTTGATCTCTAGTTAATAGAAACGAAAATAAGGGATATTATAAGGGATATTATTATATTTAAAGATAGCTACTAAACATTTACATTATTTGATTGGATACTAGATAAACTCATGTTCCATGTGAATGGTACTGAGAAATCCTAAAATTTTTACAGCAAATGAAAGTTTTGAAATATTTTTTTTGTTGTTTTTTGATGTTAAGTAGTTACTGGAGCCCATAGACATCTACAACGTAAATGCGCCAACCACCTTGAGATATAAGTTCTAAGGTCTCAGTATAGTTACAACGGCTGCCCCACCCTTCAAACCGAAACGCAATACTGCTTCACGGCAGAAATAGGCAGGGCGGTGGTACCTACCCGCGCGGACTCACAATAGGTCCTACCACCAGTAAAAAGTGTGTATTAATGGAGAAATTTAGATGAGCTTCTTGAGCGAAAATGCCCAAGAAGAATTTTTTTTTTGCTTTTGTAGGCAGACTAGCATACGGCTTCCTTGATAGTAAGTGGGAACTGTCGCTCATGGACGTCAGCAATGCCAGGGGCAGAGCCAAGCCACTGCTCACAATAAATGTTGATAATGATGTTTCAGCACATTTACAAAAGAATAAGCAGAATTACTTCTCACCGTTGATTGGGCATGCCTTCAGAATATTTGTTATGAAGACATGAACTCAGGCACTGAAGTACAGGAACTGATGTAAAATTTTCTGATGCTATCATCTCTAGTCCAGCTCGTTGACGGTCCTTTTCTTTGACGATAATATCGAAAAGTTCAGGATCAGCCTCCCAGAGGTTGCTATTTAGTAACTTGGCGCTCATTTTTGTGGAACTAATGTATCTTTTCGCAGCGAATGTCTGCAATTAATAAATACATTTAGCAGTCAATCACTAACAACATTCAGACGTATTCTGACTTTGACGTAGGTTTGTTCGCAGTCTTATTGCTAAATGGTTAATATATTGTGGAGAAACTCTGACCTCAAACAGATAACAGGCCGATAACGCAATCGCGAGCAGTTGATTGCTCTCTACGATACGCAGTTTCTTAACTTTGTAAGAAAACGTGCGTTTTTTTAACACTATGAAATTAGTTAATTATTATGTTTCTAGACATTACTATGAACTGTTCAACATATCAGTAAGAACGACGCAATCGTCATTAGTGTAAAAAAATTAAAATAATTTGATTGACTTTAAAATAATTTGAATATTGAATGAAATAAAACTTAACCTATACTTTCTAAGTTGTGTGGTGGTAGAGCGCAAAAGTAACTTAACCAAACATAACCAAAAAATAACGGAAACTGTAAAACTTAAAACAGCTGATTAGGCCATCAACAATGTGGTTTACCTTAGAATTCTTTTTTCCATAAATATTGTTCGTTGTGTGTATTGTCGACGATAACGAAAATCTTCTTATTCCTCCAGTCACGAAACAAAAACATAGTTTTGTTAGTTTGTTACACATCTTGTTATATTAGTTTAAAGCGTAAAGACAGAAATATCAAACTAAAACTGTTTTATTTTCAGACAAACAAGTAAATTTTATCGAAGCCGATAACCTATTATGAACTTTATGAACACATCTTTGACATTTCAATGACACATGTTTGACAGTTCTGTTGGGCTGCTCTAAGATTGAATGAGAGTGGCATGCCGCTTTAGCGACACAAAACGCAACAGTATCCAAGATGTATAAATGACTTGTTTGTTATAAAAAGGTGTGTGAATTTTATTGTTTGAAAACATTAAATGGTATTGTTTAAAAAACGGCGTTTTACTGGTTCGTTAATATATATTTGGTCCTTATTCTACAGCGTGGTAAGTTGTTCTATTCGGTTAACTAGCCTAGTGACGTGTCATCGCTGGCAGGTATCAACTGGTAGGCACTATTTTAAATACGCAACTTGTATTAAACATAAAAATAGCAAAATTGAAAGGAAGACGCAATAGACTGCACAGGTAGAGATCACTACCAGCTATCCCACCTTTTTTTTTATTGCTTAGATGGGTGGACGAGCTCACAGCCCACCTGGTGTTAAGTGGTTACTGGAGCCCATAGACATCTACAACGTAAATGCGCCATCTACCTTGCGATATAAGTTCTAAGGTCTCAGTATTTTAGAACGGCTACACCACCCTTCAAACCGAAACGCATTACTGCTTCTCGGCAGAAATAGGGGGGGGGGTAGTGGTACCTACCTGTCCTACCACCAGTAATTACGCAAATTATAATTATGCGTTTGATTTTTATTACACGGTGTTATAAAAACCACTTCACCGTGGAAGTCAATCGTGAACATCGTATTTCATTAGAAAAATTGGTACTCGCCTGCGGGATTCGATACGAATGCATCGGACGTCTTATCCTTTATGCTTATTCTTTAGGACGTGCATAATTAGAAACAGCTTAGCCTATATATTTTATAATTTTAAATTAACATCATACCTTGACAGCGTAACTAAGGACTGGAGACTCATTAGCTCGCACCTACGAATAAATGATTTATTCGTATAAATGATTTATTCTTAGGTTCGCACAGACAATAATAGAGAAGTTGGTCACAGAACTTTACCTTATTAACACCGCACTACAAATCAGAACCCATGATTGCTCTGCCGCGGTAATAGACAAGGCCATGGTACCCACCCGTGCAGTGCACGCTCACAAGGCTTATATGACACATTTATTCATGAGAAATAATGTAAATTTGTTAATTTTTTAGATTTGATTTTTACTACACTCTACGTCTTCTTTCTTTAGTTTGGAAAACGTACGGACTCAATATGCCCATCCCATGTATCCCACGTATCCCATACTCGTAAGCCTCGAGTAATAACTAAGATAGTATCGTCATTCTTTTATAATTTATAATAATATGGGTAAATATGTAGAAACAATAATAATATGTACACTATTTTTAACATTTTTAGATTTTTAAGGTTTTGGGATGGGGGAAGAAGATTTGGGTTTAAATTCGGTCTATGACTTTCAATGCTTTCTGTTTCCGCCAATTACAGCTGGTACCACTAAGACTATTTCGGAAAACCGCAATCGTGTTTACTTAAATAATTAATTACTATTTTTGTGAGTATAATCCCCTTGAGAATGCTCACATCAATTCTTCCTGAGATTAGGTGAGTAAGTATCCAATCTTTTTGACACCATTGAAGAAAGTTGCTAAACCTGTGCCATCTTATAAATTGGTACGAATGATTGTTTTGCTGCAGGAATGGGCAGGATTGTGATGACTACCAATGTTTGTAAGATAAGCCGTACATGTTTGATCTGGTTGTCCAGTGTTCTATGAACTAACAACACGTAGCCGCCAACGAACTGTCCTAGAATACTTCGCTTCACGGTGTTTTCCGAGTGCTTATTAAATTTTCTTCTTAAAATGAGGTATGAAGAGTTCTTAGCGGTATGCATCGGCTTGGTTGATGTTCGTCAGCGACGGTAACAATTCACTATCGGGTGGGCCGTATGCTTATCAGTCATCGATGTTAATATCATGTTAAGTGTAAGACTGGAATGATGATGTCTACTGTAGCGGCAATAGATATGCCGTACTTGAATTTTTATTTTATTTTAGACTTGAGGATTGATTTCAGTGAAATTAAAAGATTTTTTTTTTTTTTTTTTTTTTTTTTTATTGCCCTTGTAGGCAGACGAGCATACGGCCCACCTGATGGTGAGTGGTTACCGTCACCCATGGACTTCAGCAATGCCAGGGGCAGAGCCAAGCCGCTGCCTATCGCTTAATACTCTCCACAAGCCTCTTTTAAAGAAGGACATGTCATAGCGCTCGGGAAACACCGTGGAGGGGAGCTCATTCCATAGCCGGATGGTACGTGGCAGAAAAGACCTCTGGAAACGCACTGTCGATGCCCGCAGTGGCTCCAGGTAGTATGGATNAGAGGAAAGGAAAGGAATAAAACTGGCTCTCCAACCCACACACCGGAACACAGCTAGGCTATTTGGCGGCGGACTCTAGTTGGAGGGTGGTCGCCAGCCAGTCGGACTAGTCCTACCACCGATTATGTTTTCGGCTCCCGTTTAGCACCACCCAGGGGTCACTTGTAGGGAATCGCGGGTTAAACCTACGGAAGCGGGAAGCGATCGACCCCCAAGATGTTTATTTTTTGAAATACCAGTTGTGTGTATTCTGTTATTTTTTTCCTTCCTAAGCTGATGGTCTTTTGAGACCATATCAGCGTCACCGGGCGAGTAGGTGAGCTCACGGGGCTCAAACCTGACGTTGTTGCTAACACGAACCGCAGCAAGAGCCGTGCTTCACAGAATCTACTATCGGATCGGAAATGCGACCCACTGGAAGGATCCGGCGAGAAACTCAGTGGGCTGTGTCTGTGAGTTAATTTACTCGCAGAGCCCTTCGTCGCAAGCGACGGGTTCGACGAGAACGATGATAGGTGCTTGGGGTACTTAAAAGCGGTCCGCAGAATCGGGAATGTAGTTATCAGCGGCCACGATGAGAGGGTTCTCGTGTCGTGCCGCTATATCGAAATAGTTATTCTGATTTAGCAATCGTACAGTTTTATAGGATAGTGGGGTCAGGGAACAATATTTTTATCCAATTGCAACCGTACACGTTTATACCGTCACACACAGCTCGACGTCATGTATTTCCGGATTGATTCGAGGCCCAGGTCGTCGTGTAGGTCATCATTCCTCACGAACCACGAAGCCCCGACGGCTAACCTGTAAAAGCGGGATTGTAGGAATAGGTGTCTGTGTGTGCGGGCCGCGTGAGTGGCGAACACCACACTTGCATAAGTTATGACGGGCCTTATGCAGGTTTTGTAAAGTGTCACCTTGTTCCGAAGGGACATTTTACTCCGCTTACAGATCATGGGATAGAGTCTGCCGAGAATAAATGCGGCACGGGCACGGACTGTTTCTATATGCGGGCGGAATGTCATGGATGCATCCAGGGTGACTCCTAGGTACTTGACCTTCCTGGCCCAGGGCATAGGTTAGCCGAAGAGGGTCATAGGGGGTGTGATATTTCTCCTCCTAATGCGGGAGGAAATAGGCGGTGAGTTTCCCCTCTGAAATAACACTGTGCTTTTCGCTGGGTTGATATCTATGCGACATTTTCGGAACCACTGTCCGAGGGTCAAGGCTGTGCTCTGGAGTTTACTCACGATTAGGGACTTGTTTCTACTTGAGTAGTAAACGGTTGTGTCGTCAGCAAATAAGGCTAGCTGGGTCGGCGGCGACCGGGGAATATCGTTAATAAATAAACTAAATAGGAGCGGAGAGAGAACGGAGCCTTGCGGGACTCCAGCCGTGAGCTGTCGCATGTCGCAGGGAGGAGCGGGTTCCTTCTACTCGATATCGAAAAGAGCGGTTCGAGGAGACTGTCCGGCACGCCCATGTTGAATAGTTTGAAAATCAAACCGTTGTTCCAGACTTTGTCGAACGCTTTTGCGACGTCGAAGAAGAGGGCTCTCGTGTAGATTGGTTTTGGTCGGTTAAGTCGAGAATGAACTCCGTGAGGCGGTGCTCCTGTTGTACGCATGAGTGATTTGCACGGAATCCGAATTGTTCATCGATGAGAATGCCTTTGGATGAGACAAAGTCTCTGAGCAGTTTGTCTAGAGACATGAGGAGGCTAATCGGGCGGTAGCTCGTCGGATTTATGATATTTTTTGATTTATCGGGATAGTGTATGCCGATAACGTCCGCTTCTTTCCACACCGCGGGAAAGATACAGTTAGCCATAGCGGCATTGAAAATAGATGCCAACACCACGATGAGTTGGACGGGTAGAAGTTTAATAACGTGGTTAGATATACGGTCGGAACCGGGAGCTTTGCGAGGACGTAGGTCTTTGATCAGGTCTTTATCTTCCATTGGGGTGACGGGTGTTAACGCATACGAGGGGGGCAAGGAGGCTCTGTGTTCTACCTCACTGTTTACTAATTCTAAATGAACAGGGTCCGCGGATTGAATGCTAGGCATGCACTGGGATTGCAATGTATCGGCCAGTAGTTCTGCTTTTTCGTCATCATCGAACGCTGCTAGTCGGCCTGAGGGGCCTACGAGGGGGGACATAGTTACTACCGTATCCGATTTGAGAGTACAAGCTAAGCGGTAGTAAGACCTTTGAGAGGGCGCGAGTCCTCAGGACACTAACGTAAACAATAAACAATATTAATTTGGTATGTTCAGTATAAATAATTTGCCATGTTGATAAGTTTATTTTTCGCATGTAAGCATATGTATATCGAAAAAGTTGTAGTTTTAATCCTCTCGGGAAATTTATTTTGAAATGAGACACTTAAAATTGCGTGGTTGTGTTAATAGGCATTAATCGGCTACTGGAGTAACTAAACATCACAAAGTAAATGCCCCCACTTTGGAGACATGAGTTAGACTTAGCTCAATTGTCAACCAGAAGAATACTACCACCGTTTCAGTGAATGTGAGTACAAATTCTCTATCAAGGCTAGAGATGTGTTGAGACTTCGTACTTATGTTTAGTAGAGTGCTCTATAAAACATCATTTGCGTTTCCACATTTAAATTCCTAATGAATATAAGCAAAAAGAAAATGAAATTAAATTATAAAGAAAGGTAGGAAGATAGGTAGGTTCACAAATAAAAGAATAACAGACATAATAAAAAAGTAATTATAATGTAATCGATAACGTGACACAGAAAAACTATTAATTAAATTAGTATTAGTTTTATTACTTATTCGTGGCTGACGGTGATCTAGGGTAATGTTTAATGTTCAGAAACTATTAAATTCCGCATAGTTAATGGGAACGTGCCCCAAGTATGAACCAGAAGTGTTAATTTTTTTATTTTTTTTATTACTTGATGGTGAGTGGTTACAGTCCTCTATGGACTTCAGCAATGCCAGGGGCAGAGCCAAGGCGCTGCCTATCGTTAAGTACTCCGTAAGCCTCGTTTGAAGAAGGACATGTCATAGCGTTCGGGAAGCACCGTGGAGGAGAGCTTATTCCAAAGCCGGATGATACGTGGAAAAAAGATCTCTGGAAACGCAGTGACTCCAGGTAGTATGGATGAACTCTACTCCGGTGGCGGGTGGTAAATCCGGTGAGATAATGGCCTCATTTCAATCAATTCATCGAGCACTCCCCCATTGAATTGAACCACGTTCAATTCACTCCACTCGGAGACTTGCCACAGAGAGTTCTCCTCTTCAGTCACAAGTTTTGATCGTCTTTTTTGCACCATGCTCCGAGAGAGATTTTGATGGCCGACATATCGCGTATCCCCCGTGCTGCCATTTACATAGCAATGCATGTTATCAATAGATAGCATGTCATTGATATACAGGATGAAAAACGTGGCGGAGAGCACCGAGCCTTGTGGAACGCCAGCATTAATGGTCATGGTATCGGAGCAGCAACTGTCTAGAACGACTGTGATGCTCCATCCATCCAAAAAGCTAGTGATCCGCTTGCAGACTCCCTCGGGGATTTCGTAAGATTGTAACTTCGATAGAAGTGCCCTATGCCAGACTCTTTCGAAGGTCTTTGCGATATCAAGGCTTACAGCGAAAGCCTCGCCCTTGCTCTCCAAAGTTTCAGTCCATCTGTGAGTAAGGTATGCAAGAGGATCGCCAGCTGAACGACCGTGAGGGAAACCGTACTGTCGGTCATTGATCAACCGGCGATCCTCAAAATACTTCAGGAGTTGCGTATTTATTATTCGCTCCATCCCCTTGGAAAGCAAGGAAGTTATCGCGATAGGCCTATAGCTCGATGGGTCGGACCGGTCACCCTTCCTGCGGATAGGATGGAAATGGGCGGTCTTCCATGAAGACGGAAACTTGTTAATGCAATAAAAGAGGCGATACAAATGCGTTAGCGCAAGTGTCAGCTCAGGGGCGCTCGTTTTCAGAACCACTGCGGGGATGGAATCTGGCCCACTCGACTTATGTATGTCCAGAGCCCGGAGTTCCCGCCTGACTGCATGTGAAGAAGATCTCCGGTAGAGAGCTATCACACCGAATAATTTTCGGTGATGTGGAACCCCCGTCGTCTATAGTCGAGTTCGAGGCGAAGAGTATGGTGATTCCCTCTTTCAAAAAGGTGACAATACCCGAAATCTGAACTCAGAACAGCTCACGTCTGAGCGATGTATATAGGTTATTCTTGAGAGTTTATGAACCGGCTCAATGATACGCAACGATACAAGCGTACCTAATGATGATCGGCGAGTGTTCCATTAGTACAGTAAATGACGGTATCGCCTCGCGAGGGATGAGTCTGTCATTCCTAACCATGTTATAGTCCGCGATTATAGGTTAAGCGGACTTAAGGAGGGTCTCCTGCACTAATAAAATGTCAATTTGGTGGTCACGCAAAAAATCACGTTGATTTGCGAGACCGTACGCGTTAAAAAAACCTATTGTTACAGATAGGTCTTTCATTCTACTTATGTACGCCACTGATTACCGGCGGAGTGAGGGGAGGACGTACATACGTATTTAAAGACGCGCGATGTACGACCAGCCCATACCGTGGGCCCCGAAGGTCAAATATTTAGGCGTCACCCTCGACAGAAGGATGACATTCCAGCCTCATATTAAGACGGTACGCGACCGTGCCGCCTTCATTCTAGAACGTCTCTACCCGGAGATATGCAGGCGAAGTAAAATGTCCCTTAGAAATAAGGTGACACTCTACAAAACTTGCATACGCCCCGTCATGACCTATGCAAGTGTAGTGTACGCTCACGCGGCCCGCACTCACTTAAAATCATTTCAAATTATCCAATCCCGTTTTTGCAGGATAGCCGTCGGAGCCCCGTGGTTCGTCAGGAACATCGACCTCCATGACGACCTGGACTTAGAGTCCACCAGTAAGTATATGCAGTCGGCGTCGATGCGCCACTTCGATAAAGCGGCACGACACGAGAACCCTGTCATCGTGGCCGCCGGTAACTACATTCCCGATCCTGCGGAAAGAATGGAAAGCAGTCGACGTCGCCCAAAACACGTCATCCCGGATCCTCCCGATCCACTAACGGTGCTTCTATGTACTTCAAGCACCGGTCACCGTTCTCGTCGAACCCGTCGCTTGCGACGAAGGACTCGACGAGTAAATTAATTCTCAGACACAGCCCACTGAGTTTCTCGCCGGATCTTCTTAGTGGGTCGCGTTTCCGATCCGGTGGTAGATTCTGCGAAGCACGGCTCTTGCCAGGGTTCGTGTTAGCAACGTCGTTAGGCTTGAGCCCCGTGAGCTCACCTACTAGTTAAGGTTACGCTGGAATAGCCTCTCAAGGATACCAGCTTAGGTAGGAAAAAAATAATTAAAGACGCGTATACGTCGGCGTATTCTAGCACAGCTGCGATGAAGTGTTGTGCAGTGGAGGCACCGCAGATGTCGCAGTCGCTCAAACCGTTAACTCGCTCAAAGCCGATTGAAGTAACTCTGCACTTTGATTATTAACAACAAATAATTTGTCTTCTATAGAAACATAAATAGTGTCAAAAACAGTAAATCGCTGTCTAAAGAACTGTTGATGTGACCACATAATCCCAATTATTGTTTTAGAATCATCGCATTATCCAAAATCTGTTACAAGTCTATTTGTTGTGTCTAAATATTATAATAGTTAAACATTTTTCTCCGCGGCCATACCGCCTGTAACCTGTCTTATAAATTTACAACTTAAAATAAAGTAATGAAGGTTTCATCATTTCCGTCTGAACTGCAGTCATGAAAACTATTCTTCATTTTTTATTTATTGTAATTTTATTTTGTTTCTGTGCGATACATTTAGTGTCTGCGAAGAAAAATATTAGTACTAAAAATGAACTAGGGGAATCAAGTTTCAAGTATATTTTTAATTTGCTTCAAGACATTACTGTTGGTAAACGAATTGATACATTAAGTACTGGAGTGAAATTTACGGATATCATACAAGATTTAAAAAATGAAACATTGCAGAATATTTTATTATTAAACTCAGATTTGCAGAATGAAGATATTTATTTGAACGCTACTCAATTAATACGAAAAAATGGATATCAGGTAGAAGAATACGAGGTGGAGACTGAAGATGGATATTTATTATTACTGGTGAGAATACGTGGTTCCGGACCTACGGTCTTTTTAATGCATGGTATTCTGTTAAGTTCGGATGATTGGGTAACAGCCGGGACCGACATTGGCATTGGCTACTTGCTCGCAGCGGAGGGTTTCGACGTATGGATGGGTAACGCACGCGGCAATAAACATTCCAGAAAACATAGAACTTTATCACCAGACACCGCTGAGTTTTGGAATTTTAGTTACCACGAAATTGGGATCTATGATTTGCCAGCGATGATAGATTATACACTCGCTGTGACAAAGCAAGAAAAACTAATATACGTGGGGCATTCACAAGGAACGACTACTTTTTTCGTTATGGCTTCCGAGAGACAAGAGTACAATTCCAAAATTTCTGTTATGATAGCCTTAGCACCTATTGGAGCGCCCGCACATGTTAAAAGTCTAGTTCTCTTACTTATAAGAGTGATAACATTGGATTACCCGCAAATATTTTTTGGAGGAGCAAGATCTATTGGTATACAGGAAATATTTCCTAGCAATGTACTTACTCATGCCTTCACAACGTTAGTTTGCAGTCAGTTAATTTTCCAAAAAACCATCTGTAGATCTATTATTGAGGCTCTTGTTGGGTATGACGAGTCGCAGGTATTTTATCCATCACTTTCTACTGTTTACGCTCATATACCTTCAGGATCTTCGACTAAGCAATTTGAACATTTTGGACAGGGTGTTTCAAGCCGCCACTTTGCAAAGTTTGACTACGGAAAAGTAGAAAATTTTAGGTTATACTCGAATAGTACTCCACCTGAATATCCTTTACAAAATATAACAACGCCGATTGCATTTTTTTATGGACTAAGCGACTTATTTGCACCCCCAGAAGACGTCCTACACTTACAACGTCAACTACCCAACATAATAGAAACCTATGAAGTACCTTTTAATAAATTTAGTCATGTAGACTTTGTATATGCAAAGGATCTCAAGAAGCTTGTTTTTGCCAGAATGCTGGAGATAATAATCTTATATGTATAATGTATATTTTTAGTATTATTAAATATTTTTTGTAATTAAAAGTCAACTTTAATTTATTGGGCAGGAGGAAAATAGTGGAATCTCATCTAAGACGATGAAGTTAATTTTGGAGATTGCACCTTTACAAACCGTCTACAGCATAAGATAAAATAAGCGGATATTATAGCATCGTGGAGAACAGCCAGTCCGAATATTTTATGAGTTAAGTTAGTATCTCGGTCTAGCCATCATACGTAATATTTTATTTTAAGTAATAAAATTGTGGTATTTAACACAAAAAAAGAAAATTGCATATTTTTATTTGGTTGGATGAGTAGATACAGTCACTTGCTTTTATTATTACCGGTAAGTGCCGGTAACCAGGTGAGATCAGGAGTAGTAAGTAGGTATATTGTTTTTAATCCAATTAAAATTTTGTATGTTGTTTTTTTCTTTTCTAATTCCTATACTCTTTATATTTCTGATACTATACCTGATCTAATGTTGAACAATGGTAGTAGGTCACGTTTTGTGTCTGTAGGAGTTGTATCACCATTCATTCTATCATTCATATCAAAAGTTCACATGTTTCAGTTATAAGCGTAAAGCGTCGGATCAGATGAGCTCTGAGTGCATCTACCAATATTTTTTTAATTAATAATAATGTGAACGAGCTCTCAGCCCCTTGGGTTTAAGGAGACATCCACACCGACATGAGGTCTTCAGACTGGAGGTGTCGAGGAGTCTTCAGACTTCAGGTGAGGAGCCTCAGACATGAGGACAAAACTTCAGCTGAATTGTATATAGTCTATTTCACCTTTCAAGCCGGAATGCATTCTTGCTTCGTGATAGAAATAGGCAGATGGTGGTATCTATTTGTACGGGTTCGTAATACTCCCTACTTCCATTAAATGCCAGTTGGCTTTTTTCTGGTTTGATACTCAGCGAACGTAGCTGCTGCTCGATCTCCGGTGATTCTCTAGTCGCCTTTAACTACCCCCACGGGAGGAGATTGAGTGATGTCATTCCAGAACATCACACAGCCGATAAAATGAATGGTATTAACAATCTTAATAAATATAAAAAAAACTGAATAAAAATGCAGTCAATCTTAAATGGTTTGTTACTACTCAGTATCTACAAATAACATGTCTTTATAAATGTGAGCGCTGAGGCTCGTTGGTTCTGAATGTAGTTTAACAAAAAGACGCTATCCGTGCTTCTGTGAACTGTTAGTCGAGACTGACCTAGTTCCGGGATGAGTTAGTGCTGCCGGCTTCCATCGACAATCAACCGTTTGAAATACTTATGCCTTGCTAGTTAGTTAATTTGCTACGAAAAAGTTAAAAGTCTGATTTTGCCTATAAAAGTTGATGTTATTTCCAACACCGTTTGTCTTAAAGAGCCGCTATGACTGCCAGGAGTATACACAGTTTTAATTTTAAAAAAAATTATGTGGCTGCTATAGTTGAAGATGCTACAACTAGTCGAATTTGGTTATGCGGTAAAATTCTCAGTTTCGTAGCTCCCCAGAAACATCGAAGAGAGGAATTCTTCCGAACACCGGAAGATACTGTGCCAAAAATCGTCTCCTGAAATTCATTATGCCTCAGTGCAACGTTTCTAGATTGTGAAAATTACTTAACTCTGGTGGTGCGTCAATTATCGGTAAAAAAGAAATGACAGATGACTCTCATTCATAATCTTCGATCAACAGTTACTATTGTTGATCGAAGTTCATAATCAACATTTCGTTAGAGTACTTCCATTTCAGATACCTAAAGTATTTTGAGGTTCTTGATAATTTTTGAGCAGTGATATCACCATAATAGTTTGACATAAAAATAACATCATTAGCTAAGTAACTCAATGGAATGCGAACTCAATGATTGACGATATGTTTCTGCTGATTTCGTATTATGAACGAGATTTTCCACTAACGCCGTACGTCAATTTTTCAAACACTTTTATCGTATCGAAGATCACTTTATTTCGTTCTAAAACATTAAGATCGCGTTAGCTTATATTTTGTTGGTCTGTAAAGTACATATACTCTGCTTTAACCATGTTTTATATAATACATTTATATATAATATATTTATAATACATTTATAACCTAAACAATTCTAAACCTATTTTCCATTATTCACTACGATCGTTATAAATATTAAATACATTTAAAATTAGGTAGGTCTGTGTGTGTAATTTATAGAATTTCCTGTATCATACATAAAGGTACCGAATACTTAACAAATACAATAGTACTTAAATAACAGATACGTAGAGTACAGTAAAATAATAATAACAATAATCATTAAATAATTTTTAACATCATTTTAGTCTTAAACATATTTACAAATAGACTTAAAATTTATGAAAATGGTCGACAAACCTATAATAAATTTTACAAATTTCGGAGCTTTTAAAAAGTATGTTAAACAGTAAATAGTACAGTTGAATATTACTTTATGATAACGTACAAATACTTTAAAAGCAATAGCACTAAATAGAGCTTTTGTATAAGCACTTGCTTAACATACTCGCGCACCCGTTTCCAGATACTAATTTCATGGATTAGTGACATTTTCCAAGAAATATTAAAATTATCATATCATAAATTTAATTTTGAAACCAATATTTTTCTATATATCTAAAATGTTTATTTGTAAATTTTATATTATTGAAATAGGTAGATAATAATCTACTTGGTTTAATATTTGTAAATAAATGAAGAACGAAAACTTAAACCTTAACTTTATTTAATGCGTATATAATGTATGTTGAATCCTTTTATTAATGAAAATACCATTTACATTCTACTATTTTAATAAGAACAGTCTATTAATTTGAGAAATATATTTTAATGACTATACAAAAGAGAAACACTTAAAACAGGAGATTTCACGTAGGTATATAGGCATATACCTACTTTTTTGTAAATTCTGGAACCAAATTATCTATCACAGCTAAATTGAAATTCAATTCCTTTGCATTAAGTACCGCGTAATTACTCCTTTGACAAGATACTTAGCAATTCATTTCATATACATAGGTCGATGGAAGTGAGAATATAAGTATCCAATCCTGGGTTAATAATGTATTCACAACAAAAACGATTCACTATTTAATCAAAATTAAATATCAAAAAGAGTAACGCTGTGCAAATAAAATAAAAAAAATTACGATAAATATATCACGCATTTATGTATATTTCCTCCTTTGTTTTGACGGGATAATCTTTGGGCGGTAGCTTGTAGCTGTTTCTGATGTATGAGAAGCGATGGAAATTGTAGAAGTATTCGTTGCCGTCGGGTGAGTACTGTGGGTAAAGCGTGTACGAAGGTACGTTGACCTCGGAAAGGGAATCCGCGAGCGCATATTTCGCGAACTCCTCCTTGTATCGTCATGACTGCTCCCTGTAGGATTGTCGCTTGATGCATTTTTCCCTCAAAATGTAGCACAGTGCGATTGCTATCAGTACCGCAATCGCTATCGCCATGCTTATACTAATCCAGATGATCTCCTCGTTAATTCCACTTGTTGATTTCCCTGTGGATTATTTTCGTGATTATTTTCATAAAGTTAATAGTTTGGTTAAATTAATGATTTTCTATACTACATTTTATGAAATAACAGAAATTAATGGTCAGACTTTTGTGTAATTCATCCCGACTGAAATAAGAATTTTTATACCAAATTTTCGAGTAAAAATAAATAAGTAAAGACAAAATAGTTAAGTAGAGTTCTGTGTATGACAACCAGCTCTCTTTGTTTAGTAGCTACTCACAATCCCTAGTTAGTGGATATGCATTTTTTTAAATAATAATTTTGTTTTCAAATATCAACAACTCTAAATCTATAAAATGAATTTAAGAGACATAAAAAGAAAAAAATCCTGAGGCGTCAGTGATTATGGTAAATCGGTAAGCACTAGTATATACCAATAAACTATAATTCCTTCGGTTTTACTATTATTATTGGGAATCTTGAAGCTATTAATATAATTTAAGCTCTTCGATGTATTTATTCATATTCATACACATTGTATCGTGAGTTCATAAATAGTGAAGCTTCGCTAAGCAATTCTAACGGCCAATATATTCTAACGGTCAGTTTACCTATACATTAACAGCCCGTCTTGTTAGCCTTGTGTATACAGTGTCGACGTCACGTATTGTCAGTCTGTTTATAAGCGTTAATGGAAAATAAATCCCACCCACGGGTAAGACGGAAAGGATCTTTTTTGTACACATAAAACGTTCTTCAAATACATTCGAGTTTGAAGAATCTATGTGTGAACAGGATTCTTTAAAAATTCTCTGAAAGAATGTATAGAACCCATTCTAATCAGACATTTTTAATTGCACTTAAAAAATAATGCATAATATTTTACGTTAGAGCAGGACTTGGTGTAATATTATAAATAAATAAATATTTAATAACAACCACGCCACGTTAACTGGTCCCGTGCTAAGTTCTGAAAAAATTTGTGTTACAGGTACCAGATAACGGAAATAAATGTAATATTTTTATTATACACATACATATATATGATATACATCCATAACCTTTTGGAAAAAACATTTTATATTTATCATACAAATATTTTCCCTTGGCGGGATTCGAACCCGCGACTCCGTTGTGTAGTGACCATATTAAACGGCGGTGTGGTTATTACATGGCTCGGGTATAGAGATCAATTTATCAGTGGAATATTAAGAATGTATTACTTGTAGGAACAGGTGCTCTCGAATTGATTTCATGTTCGATTTCACAATACCAGGATGCGCGATGAAACACAACAGGCAAATTCCAATATTGATGTCGCAAATTCTAGGAAGACGACAGACAATACAGAGCATTGCTCATACCAACGCGAACCAACGAAAATTTATTGATTATGTACTGTAGCGTGTTTTGATAATGGAACCTCTGTGTTAAAAAGGAAAGTCAATTGTGAACTTCTTTTTTGACGCTGTCGATTAGAGCATTTTATTGTTTTTTGTTCCTGATTATTTTTCATTTTGTAGAAAATTAGGAATTTAATCATTTTATAAATAAAGAAAGATCACGCTAACTTGTTTTGTGTACACAGCCTGTGCATAAATAGGTATTGTTAGAGTAGTAATAATGATAACAATAATAATAATAGTATTACATTTGAATTTACGTTCGTCTAGTGCGTCGTACATACATTCTTATTCATGTGAATATTCATGGTGTATTTTATATTCACACAATGCTATAAAATATTTAGATATTAAAAACGAAATGGGGTGATGAACAGAAGCGAACTGGTTCCGATAGCATTACAAAAAGTAGGTATGTAACTTAAAATAACTCTCCGTCTGTTTGGTATTAGTAAAATGTTTGTATACCGGAAGGAAGCCTATGTAGGGATTACATGATACCCATTTATGAATAGGAACAATGAACCTATTTACAATAAAAAGTGGTCCTTCACGCGGAATTACTCTGGTTCACTAATAAAATGTCCATTAAATTACGGAATATTTTATGTAGAGGAATCAATTATGAGCTTCAACGCACTTTTATTCTATTAATAAATAAACTATGTTAACTAAAAATAAGTAAGGTTTTACTGCAGTGTTACCATAAAGTATTGATTTCCTCACAACGATAGTTATGGCAAGATTAAGTAAAATAATAATTTACGTAAATTTTCTGTTCGAAACAAGCCAAGAGCTCGATCCATTAAGTCAAAAAAGTGCATTATTGTGTATTAAAAAAATTACAAGTTAATTTTTTGTTTAAAAAGGTTTGCTTATATTATGCATTTTCCATTTTTTTTAACAAGAAGTTTACAAATTTTGAAATAAATTTTCATTGAAAAAAATCGATGACTGCGTTCTGTTATTAAATTATAGATTATTAGATACGCTTTGAGATAAAAGGATTGATTACTCACCTCCCATCTTGTTTGAATAGCCTCCCATCTTGCCAGCCACGCGAGCGTTCGCGCTGCCCGAAATCACGAGCACCATCGCCCCCGGTAGCACCCATAGCCGCCCTGTTCATTCAAAATATTCAATTTCACGAAACTCTATTAATACAGCCACGACTACCATTAAATACGATTATTATTAACCGTTTTAACTGTCCTTTCAAAATATTTCATTATTATTAAAAAAAAATATTGCTTAGATTGGTGGACGAGCTCAAAGCCCACCTGGTGTTACGTGGTTAATGGAGCACATAGACATTTACAACGTAAATGCGCCACCCACCTTGAGATATAAGTTCTAAGGTCTCAAGTATAGTTACAACGGCTACCCCACCCTTCAAACCGAAACGCATTACTGCTTACGGCAGAAATGGGCAGGGTGGCGGTACCTAGCCGCGCGGATTCACAAGAGGTCCTACCACCACTAAATTCACAAATTTCACGAAACTCTATTAATAGGGCCGCGACTACCATTAAATAAAATTATCATTAAACCTATTAAAAACAATTTTCTATTCGCCCACCATTAATTTTAACCTTGATGCTGTTATATAAACACGTTTCTTGAAGTGCCACCAATAACTAAAAAGCAGCGAAGAATTATATTTAAGTAGAGTTAGGGAAAATAAGATACCATTTTCTATACACCATCATACACAGACTTTGAGGGCAATGGGTCCTTTATAAGTTTCGTGTCAAATCATTAAATTATAAATGACAGTTTAAAAACAGTTCAGTTTTATATTATTATTATTATTTTATTTTATATTATTTTGAAGAAATTACCGTTACAGTTAGTCGCAACATTACACAATAAAATAAATATTAACTTACGAGAAATTCTATAGATTACACAATAGAATTCGGGTCAATAACTGATAGTAAGTAGATGCAGATGAATATAAACTACGTTTATGGTGAAACTATAACGAGTTAATGTACAAAATTGGAATACATTTTTGATACTGAATAAAGACATACATCGATATATTATTTATTATCATTTTAACTTATAACTATACTTTTGTCGTTGATGAGGCCCATATACATTCATCACAATGTGAATTCCGTAACCCTCCTTAAGACATAAGATCAAAAGTCTCAGTTGTATGTTGTATATTGCGATTTTTCCAACCTTTAAACAGGAACGCTTGATGTACAAATAACCAAGATCATACCTACCTGTGTCGCATTACGACACATCTTACCACCAGTACTTACACTAATTTATAAATAAAGTTTTCTACATCTTATGAATGTATTTAAGTTGACAAAACTGAACACGGATACTCACCCATTGTAATTGTCATATTGAGAATGTCCCACAGTTTCGGTTGCAATCTTCTAAAATAGTTCCTAGTTGTTTTCTTCACAACGCCCGCTCGATTCCATCGTGATATCTAGGCATAACAAAAAAAAAACATCTTGTTAATTAGGTTTACTAAATAAGCTGTGAATGCCACTGATTGCTAAACAGAAGAAAAAGTACCGTATAAGTTTTTGTTACATGAAGCGTGACTTACAAATTTTTGCTCGGCTACCGACGTACCCCTGAAGTTAGTGTTAGAATATACATATATGTGTATTTTAAGATTACACGACACATAAATTTGAAGCTTCAATGGCTACAGAATCTTATTTGAAATACATTTAGTATTACTTCACTAGAAACTTTATTCCTTATCAATGGTAAAATCATGTTATGATTTAAAAATGCCTGTGAAGACCTACTTTAGTAAAGATAATTTCGATTTCACCTAGATATTCATCAGAAAATACGGGACCACGATCTCCTGCAGGCACTGTTTGTACTTTATACTTTTCTAGCGTTTCTTCTCACTTATCAAAGACACGCTTGAAATACGTTTTTCGTTTTTAATTTTTTTGTTAATCATCCTAATCTTATGAACAACTTAGACATCACAGAGGTGTGAGACTTTCTTTTGACTTTTCGCTTACTTTGTTTTGGACCCATACTGAATAAGGAGTGCTCTAAGAAATGTTTCCCATTTCGTCTTGTCATGTCCCTACCATCGCATCAACTACCACTAAAACAGGGCTTATACCTTATCCCACCCCATCCACCGTGCGTTCCCAGAGACCGCATTGTCACATATAATCTGCCTTTGGACTCCATTCTAAGAATTTAATCGTATAAAGTATTATGTAAAAAAAACAGCAAATATGTTTAAATCTTTTTCATGTGAAAACAGAGTTTCGTCACTCAAAATTTTGTTTTTAAAAGAACATTCGAAAATATTTTGTTAATAATCACTTAATTACATAGAAAATTGATGTTTTAACGATAGTAATACTACCCAAGTTTGTAGAAATGAAAACTAATGTTAAGATGACTGAAAGGGTGCGAGAATTCGTATTTCTGAGCGATAATGTAAAATTTATTCGTTCATTCCACGAGAATAATGGCACAGGATGGCGCCTGTCAGACAGTCGCGGTGGTCGACGGAGTTAATTCAAAGACTCTTATGACTTGACTCGCACATGCTCGTCTGTCTTCGAAGGAAATAAAAATTAATAAATAACAACTCCCGCCAAAAAATTGTATGCCGCTGTGATATTTAATTCACAAATATTTCGTATGTGAGGTTCTTTATTTATACTTAATCTTACCATTGTATTTTGGAGTGATGTTTAAAGCAAAATAATCCAGTACTTTATGACTACAAAGACCAGAAAAGGATGCGATTCAATTTTGAAATTAGAATTGAGTTGCGTGAAAAAAAAGAACATTTTTAAAATTATTCATCGAGAAGCCAATATTTAGTATAAGCCATTACACTGTTGTTCTTGTTTTAGTAGGATAAGCCATAGTATTTTCCCTAACTCGATATCTATCTAATTATGCCATAATTTATTAAGAAAATAAAAGGTACGTAGACAAAATCCTTGCGGGCGTTTGATTTTCCATTTATTTTATAGTTAATATTATAATAGCTTCTGCACTTTCAAGCTTCGCAGCAGAAATAGATAGCTAGGTTGGTGGTACCCATCCGAGCGGACTTTTAATGGAGCAGACCTGAGCTTGTCTGGAAAATTAACTAACAAAAAAGAAAAAAAGTGTAGCTCGTAAAATGTTCTATCATAAAATAATACTTATTGTGGTTTTTATTTTGCTCTATTCTGTGTTAGGTATGTTCTAGGATAACATTATATTTAGTTCCGAAGTGTAGTTCCTATAATACAATAAAAAGTAAATCTTCACGGACTTCACTTCAGTGTTCTGTTGATTGTTGAACGATGAGGAAAGAAGCAAATAGAGTCGATAACCACAAATAAAGTTTAAATCAGATTTTAATAGGAAAAATATTATTAATTAATGATCCGGTCATGGTATGTTATGTCATATTCTAAATCATATTAACGTTTTTGCACTCGTTTTTGTGACAAAGTTGGATGTATTTGTCATTTTTTGAAATAACTTTATTCATTCTTATACGAGTAATACAAAAAGCACTCTGTCATACTGGCAGCCACTTCGAACTTAGTACAGAATGATTGATGAGCTACTTTCATTGGTATTTTGTGGCGAGTCAAATACTTTGGGAAAAGAAGTGACAAATGCAATTTGAAGATGTTTTTTATTAAAATTGTGTTTATAATAATTTGTGTTTATAGCTTTTACAGTTCGTCAGTTTTAATTTGAAAAGATTCTTGATTTAATCGAAATAGATAAAGAATTATTTAGTTTTTTCAATTTAGATATTTATCTAATTGCTACCTAAAACATTTTACTATATGTAAATTTAGTGGTGGTGGTGGTAGGACCTCTTGTGAGTCCGCGCGGGTAGGTACCACCGCCCTGCCTATTTCTGCCGTGAAGCAGTAATGCGTTTCGGTTTGAAGGGCGGGGCAGCCGTTGTAACTAGATCTTAGAACTTATATCTCAAGATGAGTGGCGCATTTACGTTGTAAATGTCTATAGGCTCCAGTAACCACTTAACACCAGGTGGGCTGTGAGCTCGTCCACCTATCTAAGCAATAAAAAAAATAATTATTTCCTAAATATAAGATACCAGTTGTAAATTATCTCATCCGTAAAAAGTAGCAAACGTTCTTGTCCTCTCCATCTTATTAATAATAACGGAGACCAACCTGAAAAAGCGGTAGTCCTGTACAATTCGCGTCTGTTTCCACAAATGTGGCTTACCTGGCAAAGACAAATATTTTTTCTCCTTTGTAGGTACGTGTTTACGAATGTTTTTAGTTCACGCTGTCATGTCGGGTATACAAATATATAAGTTTAAATAAATAAAAGTTAGTATTAAACCAATGAAAATACGACAGTATGATCAGTGACCGACTAAATTTTCGGCCCGACTCAGTAAAAAGAGACTTGACAAACTTTAAAGACATCGAAGTCTCCCTAAACTAATTAAAATTCTTCCTTTTTTAAAAGACAGAAGCCTTTATTATACACACTAGTAGATGATGGTTTGTTTACTACATTACAATTTGTTCTTTGTTTTATAGCACCTAGGATTGGTCCTATGATCGAAATTTGATCTTATGCACTGATAACTATGGATTTCAATTACGAGTATATTTATGTGTTACTTTTTTTATCAACATGGAAAAAGGTCTGTTGCCAATTTTTATTTATTACAAAAGATCTCATATATTACTAAGCAAAACAGGGGAGACAATGGCAACATTATGAAATTATTTTGTTTATAATTAGTTATAAAATAAAAAATAATAATAATATTATATGAAAATGAATGATATGAATGAAATTCGGAATTTGAATACAACCTTTTCAACTGAACATTGGGCTAAATAATTTTCAAGCCATTGGAAATCGTATTCACGCTTGGCTATCAATTATATATTCTTGTCATTAATAAAAATGTTCACCGATTAAGATACACAGATTTGTTATTACTGAGTTTAAGTAACATGTACACCAAATGTACGATTTTAAGTATAATCTTTATTTTATGTGTATTTTATCTTGATAAATAAATTAAGTAATCTGTAATATTCGGTTCTACAGTTTTAAGTGATCTACACAATACGGGTACAATAATAATAAAATTAAGTCTGAACGGTTTAATAAATACCTATTTTGTTGTACTCCATAAGAATAATTACGAACATGGCTAGGTCGGGGCCAGATTATCATAAATATTTAAGAGGGAATATTAAAACCTGCTTCACATTTAATCTTGCTTGACTTTGCAATAACAAACTATGGTCAAAGTTTTCATAGAGCCACCGCTTCTCAAACTCGTTCAACTTTCCACCGACAGTTAGGTACCGTTGTGTGAAAGTTTTTCATATTATTCTACAGTGAGTTGAAATTGAATTTAAAAATCTCAAGTTGCTTTAATTAGAAGAAATAGTATTTTTATTCTTGTTGATTCTTCTTTTCGATTCCCTAATGTACGCACACGAGTTCACGACTCTACTGATGCTAAGTGGTTACCTAAGCCCCTATCTATTAATTGAATATCTCCGTCCGTGAAGTCTTCATCCATACTAGAGATTCATACTAGTAGAGCTCATCCATACTACCTGGAGCCACTGCGTTCATCCATAGTGCGTTTCCAGAGATCTTTTTTGCCACGTACCATCCGGCTTTGGAAGTACCCCCCTCTTTAAAAGAGGCTTGTGTAGAGTACTTAACGTTAGGCAGCGGCTGGGCTCTGCCTCTGGCATTGCTGAAGTCCATGGGCGACAGTAACCACTCATCATCAATTGAACCGTACGCTCGTCTGCCTACTAGGGCAATAAAAAAATTTAGTTCGAAGTCTTAATGAAATGTCAATTGGCATCCTTTAGTCGCTTTAGAAGCAGAAGTCCAACGCCCTGGTCGGACCAAATACGCTCCACTCACAACACTACAGTGCACATTGCTATCCACACAGCCGAGGATAAGCAGAAGTGGCGCAGGATAATTCAGTAGAAAGTCATTAGAGGAAGCCACGACCCTCAGCATTGTGGATTATCGACGCAAGGAGGACAAGTCGCCTTTTTACGAGACTCACAGGAAGATACAGAATGGATGATGACGACGCTTGCAGCTGAAAGTAATAATTGTACTTTTTGACGAAGCATGTTGCTGATAACTTTATTTCTGTAATCTGACGAAGCATGTTGCGGATAATAACATGTACTTTTAGGTTAGGAATATTGTGTTCTTTTTTTTAAAATAATAAATAAACATTAATTCTTTTATACGAATGGTGATTAAATAAACCAAATACTCGCATTATCAACTATGCCAATAAAACTTTATATAAAGTTGTAAATGTGATTGTATTCCGATTGTATGGTGGCAACCGTTCAATCTCCCTGCGGAGACATTGGAAGCGCACACAATCGGAAATAACAATGAAAAGTCACGGAACGTAACGAGCGGTAGCACCGTGATCGAATT